AGTTTTTCATCAACGACATCCATCAAAACCAAGATGAAAACCTCTCTTATAAAAGAGACAAGATTGAGGAAGTTATGAAGGCCTCAACAGTGATCAAATAACAGGGTGGTCTTCTCGCCCTGGAATGGGACACTATCGATGGCTAAGAGGACCCATCAACTATCTTCGAAGAGAACAAAGATCAGAGTATGTAGCAAATACAATTCGCCGCATATTAGATTTTCTCAATATATAATCACCGCTCCTCGTGGAACTCGTCCCTAGAAGGGGGGGTAATGTCACGGACATACATATAATTACCTATATGAATAGATAAAAGTATGAAAAAGTAGGTTAATTGTGTAATATCTTCTAGAGAAGCTTCTTAGAAGCTTCATAGACGCTACTTTGACTTTATAGGAGTCTATAGTTGACTTTTAGGTTAGAAACTTGGTCAACAAGTTAGCCATGTGCCACGCATGTTGGAAGCTTAAAGAACAAGCTAACTACGTGGTCCATCCATAGAAAACTTGCCTTGCAAGCAAAGGCATGTGGCCTAGAAAGTCAACATATATTGGAGGTCTTATAGAACATCGCCACGTGGCTTCTAGTTAGATAGTATATATAGAGGTAAGAGTGAAGCCCTCTTCACTCTTGTCAACTCCTTTCTTGCTTCTAGTCTAGGTTCAAGAGTCTTTAGTTTCTTGTCTTGTGGCAATAGCCATTCCAGTTTCCTTTTAATATACCTACTTATTTATATTTTGACTTATTATATCGAGATAGCCTTTTGGTGTATATTTTTCCTCATCGAGTCTTTGTCCTTGACACACGGACACAAAATACAGACTTGAAATCTAACAAGAAGTTCAAGAAGAAGTGGCAGAACTAGATTAAACAGATGAGTACAAGAACAACACCAGAAAGGTGAGCTAGAACTCCAAGAGATGTGTTGTCGAGACTGAAGAACCCTTCAGCCTCGACTCCTATATATACTACTGAATAGGAAACTTCTCGAGCTACTTCCGCTAACTAGGACGCTTCTCCAACAACTTCTACTAATTAGGAAACTTCTCGAGCAACTTCCTAGAATCTATCAGAATATTCTAGAACCTTCTAAGAATATTCTAGAACCTTCTAAGAATATTCTAGAACCTTCTAAGAATATTCTAGAACCTTCTAAGAGAATCTTTAGGGAATATTCTAAGAATCTTCTAGAACCTTCTAAAGGAATCTTTAGAGAATCTTTAGAGAATATTCTAAAAGAATATTCGAAGAATCTTCCAATGTATGTCCATAACAGAAAGATAGATTGTTTATGATATCTGTAGTATCTCAAAGGTACCTTATGCCTAGCACATCTAAGAAGTATATATTATATACTGGACAATGTAATATAGATGTTGATGAGACAGACACAAGAGCATTCTCAACAGAAAGGAATTTAATAGAAGCTTATTTTCTTCTTATCAAGGAAATAAATCCAGATATTATAATTGGATATAATATATTCATGTTCGATTTTAAATATATAGATACTAGACTACGAAGAAAGCTTATTAACTTACCTTCAAGTTCTAGAGTGCAAGGTATTGGTACTGAAAGGATTGATATTAACTGGAACAGTTCAGCGTACGGCTTTAATGACTATATAGTCATCGATCTACCAAGGCATACTCTTATAGACGTCTACCAATATGTTACGAAGGAGTATAAGCTACACTATGGATATACTAGCAATCATGAAAATCCTATAGCACTACTTACACTGCTAGTATAATGTCTTTGTGATTACTAAGCTTTCCAAAGGGATATGACTTCTTATTAGAGACAACAGCTCAGCTCTAACAAACTCCGTTATGTGCTCATGCGATGACAAGTTCATAATCATCTCTACTACTGACGAATACATATGCTTGAGAAATATGCAACTATCTCTTCTGGACACAACAACTCCCTTATATATCATCTTACGTTCACCAGCTATAAGTCCTATATATCTCTTCTTTGTTATTAAAAGAAATGTTTCAAACACAGCTTCGAACTCAAGCTTTACAGGTGCAGGAAACTCTTTTGATACTTCATTAGATATACGTACAGCTAATGCTTTACAAGATTCATAATCCTGAGCAGTATCAGATGTAAACATACACGAGTCGGTATCACCATACACCAGCTGTACTAGATATCTGGATGATATGATGCTTGATGCGTGCATGAGCATGGATCTACCTATTGCTGTTGTGGACTCTGCACCTTCTATAAACTGTAAGTATGAAGAATTGCGAGTCCCATATGAGCCATACACAGAATTAGCTGATATCTTTAGAGCAAGTTGTCTCCTTTCAAGAACTACCTTTTCTGTTCCTATAGCTGTACTAGATTGTATCTTAACTTCCTTTCTCTTTAGTATTAATGTTTTTAATAGAGATGGTACTAATGATACTTTGAGATACTACAGATATCATAAAAAATCTATCTTTCTCTATGCAAGGATCTCCCATAACACTTGCATTAGATGAGTACACTTCTATATCCATACACAGATATACTCTTCATGTTGAAAAGATATACTCTAATGCTCTACAGTAGAGTGTTGGATCAAGAAATATATCTCTATCTCTAGCATTGAGAAGTATTTCTTCCTCTGTTAAATACCACAGCTCCTGAAGACATATGTGAGGAGGAAAGCTTAGACTCTCTCTTGGAATATAGTAGGGCATACAGTACAGTATAGAAGACTTGTCTTTCTTAACATCCACTCTTGTTAAATCCGTTGAACACATCATCTCCTGAAGCTCCTTTGGAGCCTTACCAACTATGCCATCCTCTAAAGGATACAGTGGCTTAAATCGCATTAATAATATCTATATATATATATATCTATATATATCTATATCTATATATATCTATATCTATATATCTATATATATCCTCAACGATGTGACTTAAGTTTATGGATTGTCATAGTAATAGGTTAATATTTATAATCCTTGCCCCCTCTCACAGTAACTGGACTGATGAATATAACCAAAAAAACAGAGTACTGGGTGAACTTATAAAGTCAAAAGGCTGCAGCCACGTCAACATACCCGTCGCCAGGCATTTCAAGACAAGCTTTAAAAGTTACTAAAGGAAAGCGAAAGTAGGGAGAGGCGGAGTTACTACTCACGAAGAAAGAAGAAAGCGCGAATTCTGGATTCAGCGGGAACCCGAGTCGAATCTCCCGCCATCCCTCGTGGACTTAATTGTCCACGTCCCCACACTCCAGTTTTCCCTCCAACTGGCACCGGATTTGGCGCCCATGAAATTCCACCCATACTAATTCTTCATCGCCTGAATTTGGTCATGAGGTCAAGACCAAGTCCTCTGCCTCCATCCGAAAGCACGCACCCATTAATGTTCTGATCTATCGTGAACTCTTCTTCTGCTAACGCTGGCTATCTGTTCGAGTCTTGCTGTTGTATTAATTTGCGAATCATGTAACTTCTCTTCAGCGGCCATTCAATCAGGAATTAGGCTGTGAGCGATGGTTCAGAAGAGAACAGTGGATCTCAAACGCGAGCTGCGTTTTGGAATGACGCGGTGTCCTTCATACCCAGTGTCGAATTATGATTCAAAGCAGGTTGTGTGAACAGGTTCAGGAGTGACAGCGAGTCGCCAGTTGTGAATGCTCCGATGGGGGTCGCTCCGGTCCTTCACATTGCCCGAGGCACCGATTTTCATCATCCTCATCTTTCACAACTTTATTTTTGCCTTTTCTTTCTTTCTCTTCTGTGCTTCCCTTCCCTTCCCGCCCATCTTTTGCAAAATTTCTAATCTGAAAACACTTTCAGGTGGAGTTGGGAGCGCGCTGATTCACTGGCATTGTAGGAAAAACCGCAATTTGGTGGTCCACGGACTCGACGACCGAGCCCGCACTCGAGTTCTGAAATCGTCCTAATTTGCTACTCCCGCCTGATTTGAAATTCACCTCCGACTAACGTCCTCTGGATTATCCAATAGACCCACTTGGTTATCCAATGGAGAAAGTATCACATATATATACACACATATACATATATATATATATATAAACACGAAGGGGGTACATGCACCATATATAATACATGCACGCATTTGGGTACGAACACGGTAATAAGGTCCTTTCTTCAGGGCACTTAGGCGGCAGACATCGAGAATTGTCAAAATTTTAGACTGATGCGATGTGGTGGTATGAATTCTCAATGACACGTATCGAAAGCCCAACTCAATTCCAATTGTCAAACCACAGCGTCACGTGGGATTATATAATATTGACCTTTGATGGTCCCGAAGCCGTAGTTACAAAAACTTCGTTTCTGTTCTTGTCTTTAGAGAGGCATCTGCATTAAATGTAATTTATGAGGAACCCTCCATATTACTTTTCGAGAAAAAAAAAAAAAAAAAAAAACATGAAAGACTCCTTCCTCTACTTTTCTCACCCACTTCGTTTTGTTATTATTACTAAACACCTAACTCCCGCATTTTTGTTTTTTTAAATTAGTAGTGCTTGGATGCATATTGTTCATATATTTAGTCATTACAGAGGTCCTGCATGGAGGTCGTTGGTCGGAGTCCCGGCTGACCCGGTCCAGGCGCTACGTTTCCATGCCTATGAGTGCGAGAGATTCTATCCGACGACAGAAATACCGAGTTGGATGATTATCATCCACTAGATGAAGGCGTAGAAGCTCATTGTGATTGGGAGGGGGCAACAATGAGGGATTTGTTGCTGAGTCTGAAAAAAATCTAAACTGCATCTGGAACACTTATATATATATTTTTATAAATATATATTTATAAACGTATATTTTTGAATGAGCGAATTCAAAATTTTTGGTTTCAAAGTTCGCACACGTTCTAACAAAGTCAATTGGACTGTTGATGAACGGAAATCGGTTCCCAGAACCACCCATGCTCCGAGAAATCGGTTCCCAGAACCACTCCTGGGCTTCACCTTCACCGAGCATGAAAAGCCGGGGGATGGGAATGAATTGATCGAATCTCTCCACCAGCCAGGCTAAAAACAATTGTACGAGAGTAGGAAGTAGGTGTGTGTGTACAGATTTACGTTGCGGTGTTTTGGATCCTGGAGCTCCCTTCCCGTTTTGTGCGGGATGGCTAGTGGTGCAGCTGGTGCTCATGAGGACGTCCTTCGGATCCGACAGATTTAGTCGCTGTTTGAATGCGGCTGGAGCTGCGTAACTCGCAAATCCACGCTCTCTCCGATATCTTCGTCGTTGGAATTTTCGAGGTTCTTCGATGGGATGTAATTTCGGAGGTTGTGATTTGATTTCTTTCTCCCCTCCCCCTTCTTGTCTGTTACATTGTTATGCAGCATTGAGGCGCATTAAAAGGCGGAGGGTTGGACGCGAGCTTGATTCCCCCGCTCTCCTTTCTCGGATTTGGTTTGAGATGAAGGGGCCGGTGTGGTCTTAATCTGGAAACGGGGCTTTTATTAGAGGCATTGGAGGGGGAACGAAGAAGGCCCATGTTTTCCTCCCTACTTTTGTGCGTTATGTGCAAGAATTCATGATGCTGCTCCCTTCCTCGTTTTGTCACAAGATAATATGACTTCATTCGGGCGGGGAATGCTCGTGCTGGATAGTCCCCCTTCTTGGACTCTTAGTTCAGTGTAAACTAGCGTCCGAGCTAGAGTGAACCAGCCTGAGGGAACTCGACGCACTGATCACTCTCAGAGGAGTTTCGTCCATGTGACTAGTAGCTTTCAATCTCGTCATGTTGCATTTCAGACTTTGCGAAGCGAAGTCCATGAATATCTCGAGTAGCTGAGGATTGGCTCGAATTGCTTGTGATTATTCCCCTCCTCGGTCGACACCAATATCTTCTAGGCAATGTCGTTGCTTGATTTTGAAGGAAAGGCAATCTGCCAGGACGATTTAGGCAGAGTCGAAGTAGAGGAGTGATGCTGCGTATTGCCAGAGGATATGTATGGTACATTACGGTTCAGGTGTCTCGGCTGCGACGCCCTGCTGAATGACATATTGAGCTCAGACATCGTGCACGCCAATTTAGAGTTCGAGTCCATGAAGACACGAGTGGGCGAACAGGTTCTTTCATTCGGCTTTTTACATACCACTTCTTCATACCATCTACGCCGATGTTGGACTGTCTGGACCGAGTAATCGTCAGAGGGGCAGGCTTATCTTGCGGACGCCGTTTCTGATGGGCTCAAAAGATTTCACATTACTCTCTGAGTTTGTGTATTGTCTTTGTGCTATTCTACGACACTTTCATTCTCCTTCCTTCATTCCTCTCACAGGAATACTCAGTTCATGATCTTGGCAAGCAGGCATTTCTTTGGTATTCAGACCATGGGCAGAAAGTTTCCTTCAATAAGTTTACCTTCGATCAACCGACGGTGTCGGCGGCAGCTTTTTCCCTTGTGAGGATATTTGATGCTGTATATTGAACGATCTGCGACTGAGTTCAATGCTACATTTACGAGAATTGTAAAGGGAATGTGCAAGACTCTGGAGGTATTTCCTCTATTCTCTATGCCTGTGTTAAGCACAGTTGGACCTCTTTTGAGAGAGAGAGAGAGAGAGAGAGAGAACTTCTTTTTTCCTTGCCATCTAATAGGATTTGGTTCATCATGTAGTGACGTTACCATTTTGAGATGAGTAGTTTTCGTACAAACAATCTTAAACTATCAACAAACCTTGATCAACCGCTCGGTTAATGAGCTTTGACTACTCATGTTCTCTTCTTTTCATCATTTTCTTGATTGGGCTTCATGTGTGTCCTCTCGTTTGGAAGTCCTTGTGACATGCATAATCATTTTTGCGTTCGTTCTCTTAGAGCATACGAAGAAATGTACGATGTATGACCTGCGTTTTGCAAGTACAGTAAGCTTTAAAAACGCTCATTGCTCTGAACACATGAGGATTGCCTTCCTCTCTCATCTATTTATTCGATAGTCTTCTACTCGTTCAAGTACAATCACCAAAGTGACTGATTTTGTTTTATTTGTTTTCTCCTCAACAGACTCGATCTGCTTTCGCACCTGATACGCCTGAACTACAGTCGCCGGAGAACCGAATGAATCGACTCGTTCGATTTAATTTTTGTTTTTCTTTGCAATGAGCACATTCCGAGGAGGTGAAGGTCCTTCCTTTTCAGCCATGGAGGATACGGAGTCTAACGAAATGCCTAGTACTGCACAACCGCAAGATGATTTCCATTCGGACATAGCTGCCTCTATCTTCGCCCTCGCGCCCCATCCTAACAATTACATGATGAAGTTTTTATCCGACGCAAACGGTGATCAGCTGCCAATTCTTGGAGAGTATTTAGGCGTAGCACTTGCGTTTGCAGCACTTGGGGCGCTAATCCGTGAAAACACTGGGATACCTGACGCGAAGCTCAGTCCCAAACTTCAAAGACTCGGATTGCAAGTCATGTTGAAGAGTGCTATGGACCGATTGCAAGTGCTAGCTCTAAATGCGCAGGACTTAGAGGAAAAGGTGAAAGAGGGCAAGGAATCAACTTGCAGAGACGCTGACGCGTGGGAGTTTGAAAGAAGTGCTCTTGAACAGAAGCTATCTGTTGCCGAAGCGCAAATTGCTGACGTGGAAAAAAGTCGGCAGGAGGACGCACGGACCAGCAGAGTTATGGGGATCTTTTCCTCGCACGAGCAGAGTTGGAAAATCGAGAAGAATCAATTAAATCGTGAGATAAAGCTTCTCAAGGATGAAATTGTTAGCTTACGTGACGGAAACCTGCTGGGAAGTGGTGATGGGGAAAAAGAATATGAAGAGTGCAAAGAAAAATCTAAAGAACTTGAGAAGCTTGGAGAAAAGCAGTCCGAGAAGGAATTTCTCATGACTGCGGCAATGGACGAATCGCGGGCCGATCAGCACGATTGTATCCAGATATCTGGAAAGCTGGCTATGTTAGAGTTGTGTGTGTCAGATCTAAAGGGCAAACTTTCAAAGGAGATGGCCAGAAATGCTGAACTTCAGGAAGTGATCGCGGATGTCAAAAGGAAGCACGAAGAGGCTGAGATCAACCTGATGTGTGCAAAGTCGGATCATGATAGAGCGAGAAGTGAGATAGAATCTATATCTGCAGCAAAGTTGAATCAGAATGCCATAATTGAGGAACTTTTGGAGAGCCTTACGTGTCTTCAAAAGGAAGTCAATGATAAAGAGGAAGTGATTGCAGTGCTAATGAAGAGAACTAATACCGATCGAAGAGAGAAGGAGGAGCTGTTACGTGAACTCTCGCATGCTAAAGCTAAACGAAAATCCGCAGATACTGAGAAAGATAGGTGGAAGAGACTGGCAGAAGAACGTGCGCGCATCGTTCCTGCAGGAAGAGATGCACATAAAGGAAAGCGCAAATCGGGTAGCAAACCTGAATTAGACAAGCTTGCTGAAATGCAAAGAATTCATAATGAGGAGTTTCATGGCCTCCGATCTATGTACATGACCAAGCTGGAGTCGCTCCAAGGACAACTACAAAATTATGAAATGAAAGTGGCAGCGCTGGAAGAGAGAGTTCGTAGTGCGCAGGATCAGAAGAGGAAATCTAAGCATGAAGAACGAAGCTCAGCGGGTAACAACGCAGTAGAGAATGTTAAATTTCACGAGCTGGTAACTCTTTTGGAGTCTGTAGCGCCTGACGAGGACGTGATGCACCGTGATGGCGTGGATTCTGAAATACAAGGTGCGCATCCTCTTTGTTCCGTATTATGGTCATGAATTGTGCGACCGGTAGGTAGGATTTCCGTCAATTTCTTATATTCGGGGGCTGCTCTCTAAAAATTACCCATGCGCATAAATTAGAGTATCAAGTTTTCATTTCATAACTACGCGTCACTCGTTCTTTTATTGATCGTTGATACCTTTGTGCTCCTGTATACACATCAGAGGTTCCTATGACTGTTTTAGCACTAAAAGAATGGATCAAAAAGTGGCTTGAGGCTGTTAAAAGACACCATACTCAACATCTTGAGAAGTGGCATCGCCGAGAAATTGATGCTTTTGAAAGACAGACGAGGCTCAAAGACGAGAGGTTAGAATCTTTTCGTCGGCAGTTGCTGAACATGGAGTCTGAAATCAGCAAGTTGAGATCAGAGCTCCCGATTCTGAGAAGCAAGTTAGCAGAGGCCGTGGATGAGAAGGGCAGAGCAGAGAGTGCTGTTGAATTGAAGGAAAAGGAGTTACGTGCATTGATGAAAACCATGTTGCAGAACAGCGAAGCCGTATCTAGTCCTGATTCCGGTTTGGACACGCTTAGCTACCATGAAGCCCAGCAGAAAGTACTCATCTTATTACAGAAGGATCTCAACGATGCCAAGTACGCTCCCGTAAACTAGTTCATCCTCACACATTGCATATTAACAACCTCCACTTTAACCAATTTATTTTTCTCGACATAGGAGCTGCTGGTGATGAGACGCCCATACCAATTGATTTAACTGTTTACAAACTTTGCGTGTGACCTTTTTACAGAAAAAAATTAGATGAGATTGAGCTTGAGCATCAAAGGAATCTTTCGAAGGTTGCAGAAGATTATGAAGCGGAGCTCAAACAGAAGGACCTCCAGGTGGCTGTTCTAGAAGCTAAACTATGCCAGATAAGAATTCAGATAGATAATGAGAAACGGTTGAGTCCCAAGAGAACCCCTGAAGCTTCTCCACAAGAGGTTTTCTTTCTAAATCCTTGTTCTGGTAGAGCTTACAGTGTTTGGTGCTAATCTCCTTATTGATCAGAGGAATTTTTCTTCTTAGGTTTTCAATTACGAAATTGGATTTTTAGTTGAAGTGTCCTTAAACTTTGACATACCGCTTAGGAATCCTGGTGTACTCTTCAAAATGTAGCGTTGAATCTCAAGCTTCACTTACGTTGGCTGATGATGTTTGCAGGATGTCCCCGATAAAGTGTACAAGATTGCAGTCATTGGAGCCCAAGAGATGGATATCAAGAACGCGATAAGTACTGCCTGCTGTGAAGTTGAGAAACTTGCTGATAAGATTGCTGAGGTGCGAAAACAAATGATGGAATCAGATGAGTATGATAGTGGTCTAGAGGAACTCATGGACCAAGCCACAGCAGTTTCGAACTCAGGTAAAAAGCTATCTTTGCTGAGAAATGCAATTTCTGTAGAGGAGCTCAATAACACCAAGATCACTCTATTCAAAGATCATCAGACAACCTCTTCACAGCTTGAAGCTGTTAGCGAAGCTCTTCAGGAACTCCCAAGTGATAATCTAGCACCAGCTATGGAACAAGATATCCTCGAACAACCGGCTGTTCATACCGAAGGAGCATCGACCTCAGGTTCGCTTCCATTTTTATTTTATTTTATTTTTGATTTTCTAAAAAAGAAATACTAATTTTACTGCCTCTATGTCGACATCTTTGCGATGCTCCGAGCCTCAAGTAACGAAAATCGTGTGAGGATCCGGATCTGGAATATTTTTTCTGATATCATTATTTTCTCCTTTTTAGGTATCTATTCAGGGGCTCAATGGGGAGGGATGTCAGAGGAGTGCATCACGTCAGCCTTAGACACTGAACCTGAAGTCAATTCAAGAAGGGCACAAGATGGGTATGTGATCTTGCATAATCAAACAGTTTCTAATTCGGAGCACATCATAGAAGAGGGAGAGACCATATGCACAGGAGCGTCCAGTTTGAGCACAGAGAGTTCTAGGAAAAGGGAAAGGAGGAAAACGCTCAAGGAGTACTTCCTCGACTCACCTCCAGAGCTTGTGGTGAGCAACGAGATTCAAGTGCTACCCGTGGATTTGACGCAGTCCGAAAAGAAGGATGCCTTGAGTTTTTCAAGTCAGGACGTTCCTCAGATCAGAAAGAAAAAGCCTCTCTCTGTTATTACTCCTTCTCAGGAAAATATTGCAGCCCAAAATTTGGCCACCCCTTCGAAAGCTGCAACTCCCCTCTTTGATCGGATCAAGAGCAGAAGGTAAGAATTGATCTTGTTGTTGAGTTTTGGAGTCGCTCCGCACAATCGAGTATCTCTAGATATGTTGTCCAAACTTCGTTCTGCCAGGTGGCAAAACGAAAGCTTGATTTGAGAAGTTATTACCACTTGTGTAGGAGGGAGTTCAACAAAACAAGGGAGGATATTCAAGTCTTGGGTCTGGCATTGGAGGTGAGAAAAATTGAAGAACAAATATTCCTAATTGATAAAAGGTGTGCAAGTCCAGCAACCCCCAAAATTTCACCTAAGAGGCACAACAAGCGATACACAACACTCACCGGAAAAGTTGGCCAACTCGCCAAACAAATGGTGCGTGCCTAATTCTATTTCACAAGTCTCGCAGTGTGAAGTGACATAATTGCTCAAGGTCTTCAGATGTCATAATACAGGTGATCTAAAGCAAGTCATGGGCTCTTTCCAGTGTCTTGTGTATTCTGATTCACGAGTAGCTGAGTTTGAAACCTTGTCATATGGCTAATTATGACTCTTTGGTTCTGCAGGGCTTGACTTCAGAGAAAACCCCTGAGGTAGTAACTGACAATCCCCTTTTCAACAAAAGACCACCCACATCTGAGCTTCTCAGCTTGCAGCAGCGTGCAGAGGCTGTAACTCGCAGCCTAGCATCAATTGAAGCCCAAGTGGCCATATCTCCAGTTGATGCATCATCTACAGTTCAACATACTGGGTATTCAAAAGAGCGTTTGGTTGATACTGTCAAGACTCATCTAACTCAAGTGCAAAGAAGTTTAAATTCGAGATTAGCGCCCCTGACTTCTCGACAGCCATCCTTCATACAAACTGTCTCAACACCCCTGAAGGAGAGAATGTAATCTCATTGAAAGTCTGGTTGTGCTGCATCCAAATGCCAGCCGTGGAGTGTACCTCCAGACCAGACTGCTAACAAATTCATCTGGATCGAGGTAAACCACCAAAACAGCCTCAGCAATGCCCTATAGAACACTATATTCGTTGATAAACTCAAATGCATATGGATCCGGCTTGTGAGGTTCACCGTTTCATGAATATTTTTGAGGTGTAACGTCGGGTTCATGTTTCCCGGGACTGTAATATTTGTGCCCGTCCTGGAGCCAACGTTTTATCTAAGCAAGTCATTCCTCCTGTTTGTGGCAGGGCCCATGTGTAGGCATGCAGAGATTTGTGATCGGTCAAGGTTCTTCCCCACATTTTTGAAGGTCTCTCCTAATTTTAAGTGATTGGGAGAAGCTGTATGAGCGCAGTTTAAAGCTTAGGCGCAATTGCATTTGCTATGAAGACTCGGGCAGAGTCAACCAAGCTCCCCCCAGAGAATATAGCTACTTCCATCTCCAAATTCAACACATCACCAATCAATAAGTGAACGGGATAACAAGCACCTCTGCAAGAATTCTATTCGTTTGGAAACCTCGAAACTAATCTTACCATGTAGGAACCTTTTTTAAAAAAACCATTCTGGAAGCTCGGAAAGGGGAACTTCAGACATCGCATCTTTCTCTCTCCTTCAGATGTCACTGTTATTCTACATCCTCACGAGGCTTTTGCTTGCAAGCAGCGATAGCGACAAAGAGTAGCTCGATTGAAACCCATTCATTATGTACATAGAAGATTCATGCCCAATAATAGCAGAGAACACATCATAGACAGGTTGCAGTAGCTAGAAAATATTGTTCCGATTTTTATCGTCATTGCAGTTGACAGATCTAGATCCTGTGAATCATTCCGCAGGTGTATCCCCACGTCCATGTAAAATATTTCTCCTTGATATCAGGGAGAACAAATTTTGGAATTGCAGCGGCGTCACAAATGAATCCGATTGATTCTCGTTCGCGGAGTTCTGCGTATGGACATGTTTCTTCTAGGGGATGGGGAAATGCATCTATCTTCGCTTGTCCCTACAAAGCTTCCAGCGTCTCTTGCTTTGTCAAGACCTGGTCATTGACAACGACCGCTCCACACAATGAATCAGAAATACTCGTCACTAAACACTGTGGTCAACAGAGCAGAGTCAGAGAAACGAATGGGGTGAGTCAGAAGATGTGGGATCGTTAAATAATGAACTCAACGAAAGTGAGAAAAATCCATTATGTACAAGGCTCTCTGCGACTAGATTGTCGTCGCAGGATATGCAGAAGTATGTCGATGTTACCCGGCCCAGTTTCAGAGCTCATGATAGAGTGTCTCCTTCCTCTCTCTCCTAAGCTACCTACATCTCAGAGAGTTCATGCACGACAGACCTAAAACAACTCAGCTCGCTAAAAAACACAAAAAAAAAAAAAAAAAAAAAAAAAAACAAACAAACAAACAAACAAAACAAAACAAAATAAAAAACAAAAACAAAAACAAATAACTGTATACATTGTCCGGAACGGAAGGTGTGTAGTGCATGAACGTCTGGAAGAACCTAACAAAAGTGATCTCGCCTCTCCCTAGAGGAAGGCCGAGCTTCTTCGCAACAGGTTGGGTGGGTTGTGTCGTCCGCGCGGTGGGCTTGTGTGCAGCTTTCTGGCCGCTTCCAGGGTGCGCGTGTCGCGGCCTCGGCTTCGTCGGAGAACTCGGTCGTGGTGAGTGTTGGAAACGACCACGAGGAACAAGGACGTCGCCATGATGGCAGGCACGCGGCCCACGAGAAGGAAGAGCAGGGTTACGAGCAATCCCACCACCATCCAGGAATTGCTGTTCGATGGCGCGAAGGAGTCGTCGACGAGCGGCGGAGAAGGATTAGATGTTGGCGTCGGAGTATGGGTGCAAGTCGTGGTGTCTCCAGCGTTGCTTTGAGCGATCGTGTCCGATGGCAGCATTTTAGTCAATCTGGACCTCTTGCCGCACACATCCTCGGATGATTTCTCGCGCCGCAGGCAACATTTTCGAGATCCGGTTGATTTCTTGTTGTGAGAACTGGACTCGTCGCCTTCAACGTCAGTAATGTCCGTGGATGTGCCCGGTTTTGCCTTGTGCAGCCGTGAGAATGGACAGTGCCGGCGGCTATCGGGGCTGGTTGCTGCGGATGCATGCGAGGATGGCGATGCCGGTTCGGACGTGCCAGATCGTGTAGAACTTTCAGAAATGCTCAACACCGGCAGAGAGGATGAAAATGGTGTTGAAGACCTAAACTTCAATTTCTCCAATTTGGAAGAGACTTTCTTCGCCAAGCGCCTTGACCGGGTCATCTTCTTGTAGACAACAGTCGGAGGAATAGACTCAATTTCTGATGAAATCGAATTATCGATTGGGAGCAGAATTACTAAAGGAGCACGCTGCTTCATGGCGTCTGAGGGTGCAGGCTCCAATGGCAACACGGAATTCTCTAAGCTCGAGTGTTGCTCTTCCCGAGCAGCTTCAATCCCAGGCTTTCTCGATGCTTCCAGCATTAAGGGTTGAGAATGAGCAACTTCTGAGCCGATCTCCGTGAACTTTCGGGAGAGCAAGCTGAGTCGTCTCGGGCAGTCAGTGAGGCACGATCTCAACGGGGTGAGAAAGTTAAGCGCAATCGACGAGAACATAAACCAGGCATAGAGCTTCCCCTTGCGCCACACCCTGATGACTGCATTGAACGTCAATACTGGCACTAACGATTTCGATATTCTGCCAAACCGATTGGAGATAAAAGCGCCCAGCGCAACGAGCACTACAAAGGCTGAAGTCGAGGTTCGCTGTAGACCCCGCATCCTCTTCGTGCACCGGCCAGTCTTCACTAGCAAGCTACCAACGTTCAGCTTCGCCGAAGAACCCACCTCTTCAGTAACAACGGTTACTTGCGAATTTCTTTCTGCGCGGTTGTGCGCTAATTCTCTCTGCAACTGGCGGAAAACGAGATTCTCAACAGATTGGACCACACGTGACGAAGTTTCACGTGTTTGAGCAACCTCGGATGTCGTCTGTGATTTTTCTGCAGTAGAGACCTCTTTGCAGCATGGCTTCACAAACGATAAGCTCTCAGTGTAATCAGATAACCTGGTCGCGGTCCATTCCTGCGCAGATTGAGATAGAGAACGAGCTGCAGCGACTGAAGATGCGGTCCTCTCCACCAACGAAGAATTTTTCTTTGCCTGCATTTCTTGCAACACTGTAGCGAACTTGTCCAGTCCCGAAGAAGAAAAAGGGTTCGCCTTCTTACTCTTGCGACTCTTGCTACTTTTACTCTTCCTAGCGTCACAGAAGAGCGACCTCTTCAACCTGGGCCAGATGTTCGTCATTCTGTTCAACTTGGAGGACCAAAACCTCAAAATGCGTTCACAGATCTGGTCTATCAACTGGCAGTCTCTTTGGAATATAAATCAAACCATGGAATCATTCCATCCTCAACCCTTGCGCAGGGATTTTTCGACAGCAAAAACACCTGATCAGACCGCGCTCCCAAGCATCGACGATTGTTGATGATGTCCTCGTCGGCAGACCTCTCCTACTCTCAAAGCCTTAACATCTTGCGTTCTCGAGCGTCCTGAGACCCAGCTTCAATGTTAAGCACACTCCATTTCGCCAATTTTCGTTACTCCCTACACCTATCATCACCAAATTATACTTTACGAACTTATCAATCCCTCCCACCTCCACCCCCACCTTCCTCCACCCCCACCTTCCTCCATCCCCATTTGTCCACTTAGAATACATTACTCTCGAGTCTCCAGATTGAGATGGAACACTTCCACAGCTACCTCATGAGTTTCCATATATAGTAACTTGGGTGGATACCACTCAAACCCAATTAAAAAAAGAGGGAGGGATTGATTTCTACAGTACCTATCTTCCGGGTGTTGCCCAGGCACGCGCCCTGGGGAAAAAATAGGCCATGCCCATTGATTAATATAATCAAGACAAGTTATGAATGACGTAGCGAAGCTGCGCCACATTGCCCAAAGCAGCAAAACTCCCCTACCTCTAACCCCCTGCTTTAACGCCTACTGGGTGGAGAAACCCACCAAATTAGCATAACCACCACAGTTAGTCCACGGTCCCCCATCGTAACCCACCATGGATTCCGGGCTTCTAGAACCTGCCCTGAACGATCATACGAACCATCGCACATACTTCGATTCCACCCACGCGCACTGTTCTCAGCGAGAGTTAATCAAAGGATTCCGCTGCCACTACGAGGGTTACGTCATAATTCACCTCACCAAATCCCCAAGATCAACTTCTGCACCACAAGTCATCTCGATCAGTGGGCAACACTCAACTCCAAAATCAATTCTCTCTCTCTCTCTCTCTCTTTTCTTTTCCCTTTTTGTTCCCCTTCTTTTATGAGTAGAAATCTAGCACATCAACAACGACTTTCAACACCAACAGTAAGATTCCACGGGGGTTTAATCCCCTCTGCCGACTCGTCGGAATGGTCCCATGCGTGTCCAGGATGGGGGGGGGGGGGTGATTCCATACCGCGCAAGGCGGGGATTTTACCGACGGTGAGCGTGGCAGACACGGACCAATGGAATTTTGCCTTATCTGATGAAGAAGTTGTTGACACGGTGCCCAACGAGGAGGAGGAGCCCCTTGAATCTCTCGCGTCCAACGACAGCGGTGGCAGTAAATCGGAGCTCAGTGTATCCCCACTGCCCGTTCACGGTATCTGGCCACAGAAAGTCAATCCTGTTGACTTCGTACACCCCGCCCCGTACCTTCCTCGAGCCTTCGTCGCAATTTCATGCCCCCTCCCTCTCTCTGGTGCTCCATTAACCTTAGTATCATGGATACAAAGCTAAGGTGAGCGTTTTATTTAACAAAAACCACGAGCATTAACCTTAATCCGGTTATTTTATCATTATTATTATTTTTATGTGATTATATTTATTTGAAGGTCGGTCATTATGAATAATATCGTGTATGGTGTTGGAAAAATTTAATAGATGGGTAACATAGGTGTTTGGAGTGGTTCAAATGCCATTTATGAATAATTTATAATGTTTGCCAAAAAAGAAAAAGAAGAAAAGGAAAAAAGGAAAATGTCATCATAAAACATGAGCGGGTATCTATTTGGATACACTATTTCTTTCAGTTACAAATAATAAGTAAATAAATAAAACACCACAAATGAGCTGAAATAAAAAGTGAAAATAAATACACAATCATTTGGTTAGAACTTGAATTAAAATATGTATATCAAACTCCAACATGTAACCTCACAATTAAAAAACATATGTAATATGTTATTGGAGATAATTAAATAATTGAAATACTCTTAATTTGTGGCTTTTATAGCATATTTTTCTAATCTTCATACCGTGGTAGAACAATTGAGTGTGTCTTAAGAAACCAGTAACATCGAAAAAAACACAATAAAATTAATGTGGTATAAATATTATTATGTAAGAGATTATCAAATAAGAAGTTTGATAAGTTTTTGCTTAATACAATTGCATGAAGCAAACTTGAAACTTATTGTATTTTTAATTTCAAAAAATATATACTAAAATTCAAGTGATGAAGCAGAAAAATGACAATGTCATAAGACCTAAATTAAAATTTGAGGAAAATTAAAAGAATAAAAATGACTACGAAACTATAAAAGTCCATACCACCCATCCCATGAAAATCTTTTGATATTTTGTATTTGTTATGGAACATTACCATAAAGAAGGAAGTAAACGTTAAAATAATAAAGTACAAGAAAAAAGACATAGCTAAAGGGGAAAAGAAAAAAGATATATTTGTTAAATACTTTTGCCGTTTTGTGGATCACAATTTGGTGGGCGCCATTAGCGGTGATGGGGCCTGTGGTTGCCCAAGTGCAAGGGATCCACCACCGTGAGTTCCTTAAGACCACGTGTGAGGGACTCCCATGGCCATGTCTTTGGAAGTTTCGGATGTTGTTCGGAGAAGCCCGTGCTTTTCGCTTTTTTTTCTTTTCTTTTTTTTTTTGCTTTGCTTTTTCTTTATTCTTCTCACTTTTCTTCATTTTTGTATTTATTTGTTTAATTATTATTATTATTTCATTCTCAACTGAAGGGCTGGAGATGCTTCGACAATTCAATTTTAATGAGAATATTATCGTTGGTAGAATTCACATTAATACTTGTATATTAAATTCAATGCATAATAGGAGAATAGATGAGAGGATCAAAAAAGTATAAAGTTTGTCATGGCATAAGTAATTCTCATTGATTTGCTTAAAAAGTGTTCAAGGTTGTAGTTCTATATGAATTAATTTCAAAGAAATTTCGGACATGTAAATCACAAATTCTTTATCAATGCCTTGTTAGAGAAATGTCTTGTTTTGATGTATTTCAAAAATCACACAAATTCCACTTTAAAATAACTAAAAAAATTTAAATTTAGATTCTTTTTTTATTATTATTTTTAAAGGTTTTACTGCAACTGATTAAAGATTGGTCATTGGATTTTTAGATTAAACTCACGTAATTAATTTTGGAGAAAACAATGAAGAGCATAGTAGGATATGGAAAATTGACAAAATTAAAAGAAAAGAGATAAATTGGATAAAAAATAATAATAATAATTAAGTGGCATTTCATCACTAAATGGTGGTGAATACTAAGTATGGTTTAAATAAATAAAACATGAAATATTTTAATTAAATAACTAAAAACTTATGTAAAATTAATTAATATCTCATAATCATAAACCAATAAATAACACAAGATAATGATAAGATTTCAACTAAAATAACATTTTATACTTAAGTAATATTCTATCCAATGTTGAAGTTTAATATTACTCATGGAGCTTGATAATATGGTTAATGAAGACATAGAAATTACTTTTTAACTTTCATTTTATCTTATTCTATAGATTTTTCTAATTAGTATAGAATTATTTATAAAATTTTAAGTTTTGAGAGTTATTATATATATATATATATATATATATATATATATATACACATAGTATTATCTTTGCTAAGTTCTCTCCTACTTAGTTTTAACTCTTAGTAAATTATAAAAAATGGAAGAATTAATAAGGTTCTATAGTGGTTATATTATATTTATCCTAAGTTTTTAGTTATGCCCTTGATAGAAAAATATAATCTTATAGAGGGAAAAAATAAGAATGAGAAAAGTGGAAGAGAGCATAAATAGGTAAAAAGACCACTATTTTAGCAAGGAATTGAAAGTACTTTGTTGGAGACCTTTTATATGCAACTTTGCTAAATGTTGCAAAGAGTCTTGTAGGTAGTATATTCACTCAAATTCTCAATGTCAAGCATGGAGATAACAATGGAAAGGCCTCATAACTTCTTTGTACATGTGAACAATATGGCTGTTGATTCTTCATTGAAGATGTTATCAATATCTTTGTCTTCATCTACTTGTTGATGATGATCAAGGTCAACAATCTTGTAATCATCTAACTCAATATGCGCACCATTTTCTTTGATATTGGATTCCGTAATAGAAGAATCCAAATTATGCCCACTACCTCTTCTTTGATTGTTTCTTCACCATTATCAATTTTTGCAACTTCAAGTGCCTGCTCAAACAACCTAATATGTCTAAAGTAATTCTTTATTGTTGTTGGAGAAAGTCCTACCCAAGCCACAAGTGACCAATATATTGCCGTCATGTAGTTGACCTTGTAGAAGTTGAGCTTGTTTTGCTCATCTCTATCAATCACATTTTGCATATGAAAGTGCCAATAGTATTGCTTAAATGTCGCAATAATTTTAGCATCTAATGGCTAGATCTTTGATATGGTATTCAAGGAAAGTGCATAAATGTCAATGTTTGGAATTACACAATTGTTTGTAATATGCAATGGTGCATTATCCATGCGTTTTGATAATCTTTAACTTGTGGCAAGAAAGAAACTTTTCAAACCATATTGTTTGAAAACTCAATTTTTTCTTCAAAGATTGCATCTTTGTAAAGTATCAATTACACTCTTTTATAAGCTCCAATGGCTATATCATATTTGGAGCTTGATGTTGAAGAACCCACAAAGTCAATACTTCTTCAAGTTCTAGAAAGTGAACCATCCTTGGGTGCTTTGCCTAAAGTTGGCCATTGTCCTTTCCTTTATACTCATCACATTTCTTCAAGATTTTGCTAATGTTGACTTATGAGGGTGCTTTCGCTAGGTTAATGTTAGTTTTGGCCTACTCAATAAGGATCATCTATAAGATCAAAGGTTGCACATCCTTTTGTTTACAAATTTGTAGTTGTTGTGCATTGGTGAAGTACAACATTGTTACAATATGCCAGTCAAACATTTTAGTTTAAGAAGATGAATTAGAATGATTTCTTTGTGTATATTGACTAAGTAGTGGAAAAATAAATTATAATATTTATATTAAAAAACAAATTCAATAGAATGGTTTTATCTATATTTATTCTAAGACTAGAATTTCTCTTAAAAATATTTTTAGCTTTATAGTGATATTATTAAAACTAGACTATTAGTGGATTTTTATTTCATCTAATTCTTAGATTAGACAAAGAATATGTCATTGTATTCTTTTGATTATTAATTATATTTTTATAAAGATAAATTGTAGTAGCACATTTAAGCTTGGTAAATTCTATTTTTGGTCTAAATCTCAAAAGAGAACAAGTGTTTGTAGTGCAATTTGTTGAAGTTGTCTCATATTGGCTTTTTTCCATTCATGTAAGATGCTTACAAACTTAGACTGTTGCTTTCTCTAGGTTTTTATTTTATTTTTGATAACTCATTTATTAAATCATAATACAAATCCATTTGAACTAATGGTTCTTGTTTTGTTCTAAGGCTTGATTTTTGTATTTTTAGGATCTTTAGAAGTAAATTGGTTATTAGTAAAAGTCTTTGTTGTAAACAAGACACAATACTCTTTGATGCCATGGATAGTTTTTAGACAAAATTTATACTCTATAAAAAATAGGTTGTAGTCAAGAAAGAAAAATAGAAAAAAAGAAAAACTTTTCTTTTCTTTCTTCAAATATAAAAAGAGGTGTTGATTCTAATAGAGAATTTTAATCTTTTAATTCTAGATTGCCTTTAATTCTTATAGGCAATCTAGAATCTATAATTAGATTGCTATACATTTTAACTTTTATATTTATTTGTTAGGTCTTTTAAACTATTGGCAATTGCTTTATTTAATATCTTAAATTTATTAGATTTTTATTATTTATTTTTAGATTAATTTGCAATATGTTTTAAAAATTATAAGTTTTGATCTTATAAAATCAAAATAAGGTTCTATTATAGTTTACTTTTTTAATGTTTCTTTTTATTTATAGAAAATAAGAAAAGATATTTTGTATTTACATCATTGATATCTTTTTAAATCAATAATAGTTTTATTTTGTTCTGCCTCTTTCTTTTTTTCTTTTTTTGTAATTGCTGAATGTAAGAATGAATTCCGGTTGCAAAAATCAAGAAGAATAATTAGAGTAGAATGTTATAGTTTAATTCAATATTGAAAATTTTAAGCATTAAAGCATCAATAGAGCTGAGGCATTAGGACCTTCGAACAAACATATTCAGATCTGCAAAAAAAGCTTAAAATTAAAAAATAATGTTGAGGATGTGGTCTTCGAGTCACACTTTTTTTTGAAAACATCAAAACTTAAAGCCTAGTTGAAAAAGCTGACCACAAAAAAATTGTTCCTATCAATCTGTTGAGACCAAAAAAAAAAAAAAAAAAAAAAAAAAAAACACACACACAAGGTGCACTTCAGGGTGCCAAACCCATTACCACCGCAGTTTGCTCAACAAGAGCGATCTCTGCTTTATCTCACAGGATTCAACACCTGAAGCAAACTTTCAATGATCCAACTACTGCTTCTTGAACGCCTAATCCTGTAAAGTACCACATTTTGACGTTGTAGACTAAATCTCGATATCGTGATTTCAGACTTTTCAATCAACTCCTGTAATCTTTGGAGATAGAGTGCCTTGACCTATTACCCTCGCATTTGCACTTCTCGGGAATATGTGATATTTGCTCGAGTACAAGGAATATTGTAATACAAAAACTGTGAATCTTCTTCATGGTGCTGGTGGAATCACGGCTTTTGCCATGTCCAAGTTGGAGATCCGAACAGTTCCCAGTAGTTTCTCTGGTAGCTCCTCGTCTGTGTTAGCCTGCCAAGGTACATTCAGTTTCAGATCCAGGCAGATGTTTAGATCATGATGAGAAAGCTTTCACTTCAAGTGCCAGTAAATATGCAGTCTGAGGTGATGAAAGTTGCCACCTCATTTTGTTGACATACGCTCTTTATTACTGATAGGAGCCTTCAAATCATTTTTCTTCGACAATTGGAAAAGGAAAGAGGATCAGAAATACCTGAATGAGGAAGGCCATCTCTAAAACTAACTTTGAAGCATAATTTGCAACAAGATTTACAACTCCTTTTGCAACTGACGATGATCCAATATCAATGTCCATCTGCAGAGAAACATGGGCACCAAACTTTCCATAAAAACTAATCACGATGGTGTTTCCGAATGCTTTTGGTAATTCAATATAAGATATCTATGTGGTCTTCTTCAGTACTGTCTAACGTGAAATTCAATAATTATGATGACGATGATGATGACATACTGCTTCGAAAAAAATGATGTGAAAGTGGTCACCTCCAGGTAATTATCGGAGGAAAAGTAGTTAATGTCCAGAGCCTCTCCCACCAAGCAAGCTGACTTTCCCACACTCTGCTTCACGATCCAAGAGCCCTAAAACGGAAAATATATCCACTCGCTGTTATGCTATGATAGCATGAAGTGATAAAAAAATGAGCTGCCTAAGCAGAAGTCTTCCACTCCGACAAGCATTAATGTTCCAATTGAAATCTAATAAGCATCTACAACGTTTTCTTCGTTTAGCATCATATAACAAGTATCTGAAACATTGGTAGCCTGCAAGTGCATGTCAAGCGTCAAGTACTGAAGTCACTAATTGGGAGTAATGAACCTTGGCAACATGTGGGCAGAGCTTGAAGCGGCTGTTACGATAGTGATCATCACCGCGGACAAAGCCCTCGAGGAGTGGGATATCCTGGAGCAGCTTGTTGGCCATATAGTACAACACCAGGCTGTACGAAGGCGTGCCCGGCACCTACAGTCACCATCACACCTTTAGCCAAATGATGCATTCTACAACTAGTGCAAATAAAACTCGAAGGAATGAGATTCAATGAGTTTATACAATGGATTGAAGCTAAAGAAAAAGTGAAAGATGTTAAGCAATCGAATGGAACTTATACTCATCGCAAATACAACTAGTCACGTACAGATATGTTGACTAGAGATTAAGCAGAAAGCACAGTTCACTGAAGAACTCACTTGAAGATTGATGATCACAAAATACGATTCAGCCACCCTTTGAGCACTAGTCTGCCATCCCCAGTTCCCTCGAAGATCAATAACTACAGGCACAAACTCTCAAGCAAGATCCAAAACAGGCCGCTATCTCCTACTAAAACTGATCATGTATGTCATCTCAATTGAATTTAACTCTTGATTCCATAAGTTTTTGCACGTAGAAGCAATATTGAACGATATCTGTGACGGACATGTGAGGCAAAAAATGTGAACCAAGAGAAGGCAAACCTGCTTAACGAAGAGCTTCTGAATAACACATCCTGCACGGGCAGCTAAATGTTCCTCGCTTCTGTCAGACTTAAACCAGTCTGCCGCTACTAATTGCATCACTGGAGTTCCTGCCTTCACCTGAAAATCATCGCCATACTTAGACAATCCAAAGTTCTAACCTTCGATGGTTCCAAATACATGAATCACAGTAAAGCGTCCATCACATACATAGCATGGCCACAGGGAGAACAACAAAAGAAGAAACCGTACCAATTCCATGTTAATACCACAGCAAGGACCAAAAAACATTTCTTCCGAATTACAAAAATAAGGACTTCGTGGTCACCTTTTTATGGTCCCTAAGGTAGTGTTTCCCGCGAATTAGGAAGGTGCTAGATTCAGCAGTATCCCACGTCATCGTTCCCAACGAGGATTCCCGCTTCATAAACTCCAGGTCACCTTCAGTTGTCCTATCCCTCGTTCCTCCCTGGCTTGCAAACGAAGAATATCTGGGAGCTGATAATTTCCACAGTATACGTGTTAATGCTAAACATAAGATAAAAAAAAGCATCTCAATTTTCCACAGACCGTTGTCTTCGTGCATGTTTCACAACCCAAACTCCTCCCTCCACAAAAAAATTAAGAAAGAAAAGAAGAAGAAGAAGAAGAAGAAGCAAAGAGTAGCTAGAGTAACTATTCTCAAATGCGAATGCAAGATCACTTTCATATGCTGGAAGAAAGCTGTATCAGATTAATTGGATTCTACAGCTGAAGAGAGTATCAAGACGTGGAACTGCAGCATGCAACAAATGAACCGCGTAGAAACTCGGAAACTAATTACACCTGAATAGTATGTTGAAAAACCAAATCAACGACGAACATTAGCTTTGAGCTTTGGGGTATGTTACAGAACCTCCAGTAAGGTCTTGAATTCGCTTGACTAAGGTTGAAGCCTTCGACACGGCCTTCTGGGGAGTCTGCACCAGTATATAACTGTTAGAAGGTGACGCTTAACAACCATGAAAATCGATAAGATGTTCAAAGACATCATGGAGGATTAAATCAAGAAGCACGTGTCATCAACGTTACTGTTTTTCATTTGAACATGTGAACTGAAATGAAGCGATCTACAAAGATCGTTGAATCGACATTCCTTGGGTAGGTAATTACACGAGCTACCAGAACCATAGGTGAAAATCTCTAACAGTAGCAACCCAAAACCACGCAACAAAATAATTTATGAAATGTTAGTAAACCATACATAGTTGCGTGGTTCATATTGCTCTTCATCCATGGATGAACCTTCAACTTCATCGGAAGACATAAGCTCGGACTGAGATTCACGTTTCCAGGATAAAGGCTCCTCAGCATCAAAAAACTCATCATCAGCAACCTGGAGGAATTTGCTTTCTGATTCTTCAAGAGTTGATTGGTTTGTTAACTTGTTCGAGAGTGTATTCGCAAATTCTTGTTGGGACTGTGCGCGTTCAAAGATACTTTCCTCATTTTCGCGGCGTTCAGTTTTCAAAGGAACTGGTGGTCTCTCCTTCACCTTGAACAGCTCACGAATCGCTGATGTAATATGCAAACAAAGTTTAGTACAGTGAAATCGTGAAAAAACGGACATCATCTTGCTAACCTCAAAATAAGGCTAAAACAAAACATTCACATAATCTTACAACCTACTCGTATTCAAGAGTTTTAAGATCTTTTGTCATCCCTGCACAGATGAATTGAAACAATTATATTTCGATCTTAGTGGAGGTACAGTCCGTCAAGTGTGGTTTCTTCACAAACATGACATGTACACAGAGTTTGTTAATGTTTTCCATGAACGGTTGAGAATTCCTTAACAATTAGCTTCGATCCTTGAGACATATTAGCAAACCATTTGCTTCATGGATCTGAATATTACTTCAATCCAAAAGTTGAACAGGTGCAAGCAACAACCTGCAATTCGCTCAAGCATGAGAAGTGACATATTCCGGTTGCGAGACTTTCTCCAAAAGTATCCCCTCCAATCTACTTTCATTATGTGCTTCACCATTGATCGATTAACCTCCGCATTCTTCCCCGTCAAAGGTGATATTACGTAGCCCCCACCTTCGCAAGCATCAAGAAGAAGTTAACTTACTCCAGCATCTCAGAAAAATGATCATGGTCAACTGATGATGAATGCCACCAAAGGAATAATTATGTGTAGTTCTCTGATTATTCAAAGCACAATACTTCAGAACTATTGTGTATAAACTCATCGAAAAGCAGAGAAAATCTTACCAAGTTTTGAATCATGTTCATATTAGTTATTAGATCTACAACATGTTCTTAAGATTCACCTCTAACAAACGTAATCTTATGATTTAGATGTCTGAAATGCATCACTTCGAATGAAATCGAGGTAAAATTTTGGCAGTATTCTACATCCGCTGATCCCTGCTAATACTGAAATTTTGGAGGAGCTTCAGAACTCACTTAGTACATAAGCCCGCGTGAATTTCTTGCTGGGAGGACACTTGGGATGCTTGATGGACCTGTAGAGTATTACTGTCATGCAAATTCAGAAAATATTCAGCTCTATCAAAAATGTTCGGTGCAAAGTACCTCGAAAACATAGAATACCACGCGAAACTTTTCAATCCCAAGAAAATTGACTTTCAAACTCAAGCCAAACGCCACTTGCTGTAACTACTTGGAGAAACAAGACTGTTTCAACTAAAAGTTCTAACTACCCCAAAATACCCTAAAATAGCATACCATAGGTGCCGTCATCGTCTCGGCGCCAGTAACGCTCGAACACCAAATCCCGAGGCTTCATGCGCCTGCACTACTTCCAAACAGATTACACATTTTACCATAGCCTTAACAACCGAAACGTACTAATCCAAAAACTATGAATTCCTCCAAGGGACGGTTGTTTGAATTTCAAAGAACTCAACTTCTGCTATTGTGATGTAGAAGGTGACTCACCAAGGAAGCCATTTAGAGTGGAATTGTTTGTGAACAATGTCCATATGCCCATGCACGTGATCTATGATTTGGCCTTGGTGGAAGCAAAAATCCCACCTGCAAAAGATATCATTTTTTTGCTTCTATTACGAATCTAGATCCAAAGTATGACGTAAAATGATATGTAAATTCTACAATTACAAGACAAATTTGACTAACAGACGAGCAATGAATTCACCCTCACTATCACAGTTCGACAACTTAATTAGACCAAAAAACTTGAGTTGAGCAAAATTTTCGAGAGCAAAATTTTGAAGTTATGGTATTTTGGGCAATCAAGTCAAACTAGATGCACAACATAAACTTCTCGTTGACCAGTAACAATTAGCTATTATTTTGAACACAAATTAAAGCAACCCGAAATAAATAATTTAACAGTCGAACTATTCAAGAAGGAAGAAAGGAAAAGAAAAGGGAAAATAAATAAATAAATAACACACATACACACACACGCAAACACCATGTCAGTGAGTATTCCACGTAAGCCCATCCGCAGAACTTCCTAAAACTTTCAAAAACAGAAATCACAGTGTGAAATGTGCAGGAGAAATCTGTGATAAGCTTACTCAGCTCGTGAAGGCCCCAAGGCCATGACTGTATCAAAGACAGTTGCAGGGATAGCATCCACAACGCCCACTGCCATGAGAGCTGGAGGAGTTCCCCCGCGGATCTGATGAACATGCAAGTTTGAGTCGTTGGACAGATTCCGTAGGGTACGATAATGCCAGTTTTAAAGCATTCAGATGTAGAGTTAAAATCCTAAATGGTTCTATAAGCGGACTGGCTGATAATCTTTTTAAAAGGATGTATTTACAAAGTGCTCTGCAATCGCGTAACGAATTCCAGTGAGCGCATATGGCTTTGGAAATAATACGAGCCTGTTTATGGTCAATTAAGGTGATTAAGATGTTTTAATACTGGCAGAACTCGTGGGGTACCTTATCTTTAATACTATCGTCGCACTCGGCAGTTTCCTCAAAAAAACGTAGACCTGAATCATGAAATAAATTCTTAGCATATGTCGAGGAGCGACGTTGTCAAATATCTGCGTGCCTACTCGGTAATAATTCACACTAGTAAAACCCTAAGCTTCTGGTCAGGCAAATTCACAAAAGAACCGGCTATCCTCCCACCCCAGATACAATTAAAGATGCGAGCATCTCTGCACTTGTTCTCATTGAAAAGAGTAAGCCAACCATGGCAAGATCAAGAGAAGAAATTTGCGTACCATTTTTGCATCCAAAAATTTCCCAGGGAGAGGACGCAACCACATCTGGTGAAGCATCTTTTGCTAGTAGCGCACCAGTCCAATTTGGCATCTCTGTATGACCCACGATTTCTTTGAAATGAAAAGGAATGTTAAACCTGTAATGTGACGAAGCCTTCCATCACATTACCGCCACAGCTGATTTTAAGGAAACAGAGCTGTAAGCGAGCAACCACCTCTTTGACACCGGCTCAAAGATTACGATTTGACCAGTGCTGGCATCTCATAGTCATCAAATTAAAATGTTGTAAATTAAACGAAGTAGTCGGTACCGCACCTGATTGCAATTCGGCGGTAAGTTCCTCTCCGTCCAAGTTATCAAAATTTCCGGACACATCCGGGACCGGTCCACTTCCTTTCCTCCCCGAGCGCCTGCAACATTTCTCAGTGTTTTAGAAGGCAAATACTAACACTGTTAACAGAAATGGAAAAGACTGAGACATACAGATAAAACCATATGATGTGGAATTCATTTCGCAATCATGTCACCAAAAAGGCTCCCTATGCATATTTGAGACGAAACAGGTCCAGGTGCAGGTGGGGGACCAGCAGCATCGTCATATCCCTAGGACTGCTTTTGAACAAACTGACTATATTTTGTCCTCGTTGAAAGTTATTGAAGACACGAGTAAAATGTGCTAGATTATTGTCAAAAGGATTAGAGTTTTATTTCTAAAATAGCCTAGACATTACAACTTTTAAGTTTCGAATGGCTTCACCTAAGGTTTGGACGGCGTTTTCGTCCTGGAGCTGGAATGAAAGTTTTATTGATACCAGGTGGCTGTGCCTGCATGAAACCTGAAAACTCAGAAGGTGTATGGATGAAATTGAAGATTTGGTCAATGACCGCTATAGGAGATATAATTTGAAGTTGTGACGCTGTTCACAATCTCGGATATGAAAGTATCAATAACTGGAATCATGCGATACTCTTGTTGATAGTTGGTGAACCCAGTTTCTCATAATTTCAATTGGAAATCTCTCTTCTTCAAGAACTCCCGTAATGATCCAGTAACACAGCATGAAATATAAAGCAATCCGTAAGCTGCAAGGATCTTCACATGAACTGCTCAGCCAAAGCGCAGTTTAGCACAAAACCCAATTACTTGAAAAGTTTCGTACCCTTTCTGCAGCATTCCTGAAAGCTTGCATCCATCTGGCAGCATCTTCAGCATTCTGAACTCCAAACTACACATATTGCAGGTGACATCTGAGTCCTAGTGTAGAAATAGTAATCATAAATTATGAAAGTACGAATCTCTTAATCACTGTATCAATTTATTAGATTCATTATCTCTTCAACACATCTCTTTGCCTAGGTCCTGTAATTTCTCGACAGCCCATCCACTTAGCCAGCAAACAGAACAACCTTTTGAACGTTATTTGTTGCTAAGGAAGAGAAGCAGGGGATGTTGACTAAAAACATTGCAGCTATTCTTCTTACCTTAAGTTTGGCTTCAGAAGCATGAGGGTCGTGCACGGAAAATACAAAGAAAACCTGCACATATCAGCAGTGCCAGGTGAATACATCTGCCAATATCCAAAGAAGACTTTAAAACGTATGTATTTCAAGATTCTATCATACAGAAAGTTCCTTCGACCGGTTTGGACAAATTCTTAGAGCCCAGTACTGGTTCCGATTGCCTTAAGAATCCTAAGTTACGGTTGTGAAGATTTGAAAGCATCCACAGACAACCGAACAGAGTGAGATTTTTCACTATCCCATACGACTCTAATATAAAATACGAGGCAAGTTGCGAAAATCTCACTCGACCAAGGACGATTTCACGGCCGTGGTCGGTAACTCTAGTGCCCAGGTCGATGATGCCTGATCTCAATGGACTCTGCAGACAACATAGAACTCAGACCCAAATCATTAATGACCATTGACATCATGTACTACAAGGTAATGTAAAAACCTCAACAAATTTGAAGAGTTTTAAATTCACAAGGCCTAAACATACAATCATATAGAGCCGCATCATACATTGCATTGACACCCCGCAACAGATGATTACAAACATCACATTACGAACAAAGAGGATGTGAAATTCGCGAATCATATTCTACAGCTGGTGCCCCCTAACTCCAGGTTGGTCTCCGCAAATCAAGCGTCACTCAGAATGCAAAAGACTTCAGCGATTAGCTACAAAGAAAAAATGAAATAAAACAGGATAAAATAAAAAATGAAGTGAAGTACCTCGTCCTTAGCTCTAGATTTATCCTTGAAAGCGCTCGCTCTATTGCCCACAAGAACCAGGTATCTTTTCCGGGGGTGATTTAATCGTAACTTAGAGGGGTTTAAAATATACACCCAACCCTCCATTCTCATCATGCCATTATTCTCCATACCTTCCCTCTCCAAATTCGATTCTCAGATTTCCTTCAACCCCAACACTACTATTGCGTTCACGAGTCCTCCCTCTATGGAAGCCCACTCATATGCGCCACGGTTAGCCTTGGAGGAGGAGGCAAACTGTCAACTGTGCCGAAACAAAACAACGTGAATACCAATGAACACAGAATCCAATGGACTCAATGACACTAAACAAGGATGCAGACCATTAAGGAAAAAGCTCTAGAGTGTCGGTTTTGATTGCATCACAGCAATAAGAACATAGAATACGCTCTCTCTATACCCAAAAGTTGTACACATCCTGCGAAGACGTATCTACAGAACTTGTAAAGATCCTTTCGCTGGACACTTTGACAGCAACACATAGGCAGAGGAAAGAACCGGAGTGTTCAGCATCGAATGCACGGGCAATCTGAGAGTCATCCGGTGAGGAAGGCATTCAACCCTAACAATGAATCCCAAATTTCTGCATTACCGAGACTGGGTTCACGAATTATTTTTTAAAAAAACAAGACCAGCCACAAAAAGAAGCACCAATGTCTCAATCAAAACCCACCTCGAAATCTCGGCTCAGTTAAGGTCCACTGGGTACCTAAAGCTCGATTAGATTGTACACTTGGGTACACTTTTCTTGAGAATCAGATTCCTACGACGGAGAATATGCGCACGCCGAGACGGGAAAATGGTGAAGCTCTCTCGCAAGAATGGAGGCTTCAGAGCTCGAAACTGCAGAGCGACGAATTCAAAAAGAGGAGTGGCTGGCATGGGACGCCCCCCCTGAGGTGGGTGTGACAAGTCAGCTATTCCCACGTGGATTCCGTGAACGGCTCCTCCTCTTGACACGTGTCGAACCGCCTTTACTGTGGGTGTGTACTGTTGGTGCAGGGTTGGTTCATTATCCTGTGACAACGAAGCTTGGACGAAGCTAGATCTCGAGCCGAGCTGGCCCCCGAACCTGATCTGGGGTCTTTAGGTCCCGGATAGTAACTGCGCCCACATACACACATAATTTTGTTGAGTATGTATGTGGGCATTTGTTCAACTGGCTATTTTATGAAGAAAAATCAATGAAATTAGTAGTTTTTATTTAGAAACATTGTTACAAAAGTAACATTTGCAATCCTGACATTTTCCAGAGTCGTTGTTTGCAGTAATCAGAAATCTCATGTAACCATGGCAAAGTTTGAGCGGTCTTCTGTGATTATTTATTTTCTTTTAAGATACTTTCTATTAAAATAAAATAAAAAAATTAGAGTATTTTTCCCATCAATGAATAAATTTCTCTAGGAAATTACGAATAAAATTTTAAATTTCTCAAAATAATATAGAAAATTAAGAGGAATTTAAACTCAAGAAGCCCACTTTGAAAAGTTATTGTACAAAAGTCTTTTAAAGGTTCCTTGCTTGGTGAAGAAAAATTCTCTTGTGAAAGTCTTAATTTTTGAAGATGGTAAACAATGAAAAAAAGTTATGGGAATGGATTGAACCATGCCTTTTATTATAAGTTATAATATATTAATTCTTATCTTGATTCTGGCAATTATGACAAACACTAAAATAATAATTTCTCATTATTTATGGGCATTCATATAATTTCAAAAATTCAACCTTCTAACTTTTTATCAAACCACCTCTTGAAGTGAATCCACCACAAATTTAGACAACACTATTCCTGCCACGCAAGAAAAAAACACATTTCACCTCATATTTTTATATTGGATTTTTTTAGCTGTTTGTTTGTTTGTTTGTTTGTTTGTTTGTTTGTTTTGTGAAAAAGATAAACTCAACAAAATGAGATTCCTTGATTTCAACCAGTCAAATGATTTAAAAGTTGTGACCTCTCTCACCTTCTTCCCAAACCCACTTGTCCAACAAGACATGAAAAGATCTGTAGAACACACACAATGTTGGAAGATTTCAGCCCAAGTTCACAAAGAAAGCCGTGAAACAAACCCCAATCGAAATGAGAAAGCATGTATGTAAACAAGCTTGAGCTCTCACCTCACCCTTTCGGCGGTCACCAAACAGCAGTAGCAGCAGCAGATTGTGGTGCTCTCGCATCAGGGATGAGGAGAAGTCCCTGCACTCCCGAATCATGCCCATCGTCCTTTCTCGTCGTGGTGGTGCGTTGTCGGCAGTGCTTCCTGGATATGCTTTCCCAGTGCCGCACAAGCACTCAACAGTCCAAGGATAGCATCGCTACACGCACAGACAGCCAGACTCTCTCCCTCACACACACACACACACACAGTGTGCCTGACGCACCACACCAGGCCTGCGGCGCTGGGCTTTGCACGATTCAGGTGCCAGACAGGTCAGTCAGGCTCCTGCGATGAGCACGAGAACGCACTCTTTTCGTCGCACCTGGAACACACCTGCTGATCGCTTCTTTCCTCCAGCTGTTACTACTGCTGCGGCTGCTAACAGTGGCCAGAGCGGCACCCAGTTGGTGTCTCGCCGACTGATCTGGCGCTTCCTCGGAGCCGACGACTCATCTGGATCAAAGGGACGCGTGGTACGAGTGCAGTATCCTGACTGTCAACCCAATCTATCCTCCTCTTCTGTCATGTTCGGCGCCGCCAGTTTCAGTACCCTAAACCCGCCGCGGCATTCTCTGGGTTGGAAACGGTCCCCAATGCAACAATCGGTGCAATTGCTTGAGCTTACTGTTGCATGCTAAAGCCATCTGCTGTGCCTCCATGGCACCATCTGCCCAGCTTGTGCTTGAGCTCAGTTGTGGTTAAGTCCAAACCTTTGAACCATTGCAATGTTTCGGATGTTTGTAATGATGATAATAATAATAATAATAATAAGTATTATTGTGTTGATGAGGTGCTATGATTCTGCACACAAGAGGTCATGCAGCCAAGCAGTTCAGCGGAAACCATAGATGAAGAAGGGCCCCTCGTTGTGAACTATGTGACAGACGAGCATTGAACAAGATTTTGATGAAATACGAATGCTTCTGTGTCACAAAATATGCCTCCTTTATTCCTGAATGTTTTACTTTTTACTTTTTACTTTCTCTTATCGTGTGTGTGCTCTGATCGTTCTGAAAGCCTATGTTTCATTAGTTTCATGATAACATCTTTGACCATATTAACATATTAGAAAAATCAAAATACTTAAACGGCTAACAATGTGTGCATGTGAAATACAACTCAATATATGCAGTTTCCTTTACAATCCAATATCAGAACACTTGATAAACATGACTTTTACAATCTGTGTTAATATATGTATGTATGTATGTATGTATGTAACTAACTAAACAAATAAAACGTATTGTGAAGAACAATTCAACAAGAAAATACGATTTTTTTTAATCTACAAAAATACACAAATTTGTATTGGCTTGTAAAAAATTCAGATTTCAAGACAAACAAAATAAAAAATATAATCGTGTATAAAAATATTAAAAAATTATTTATTTCAAAATGATTTCATATATACCTAATTGAATAGACAAGCTTTTTTTTCACCTCACAATATATGTATTAAGTGATTTTTAAGTTGAATTTTTACAATGTATTTTTATGACATGCATGATTGCTTCTAACATGTTGTGTGTATTTTACATTGTCTTTATTCTTTTAGTATCAAAGTCTCAATCAGCATAGCTAGAGCAGCCATTTCATATAATGACTATACATGTGCATGTTTGTATGTATGTATGCATTAAACTAACACCATGATACTCTAATTTTTTTTGAATATATGGGTTCATATGAGATATGTGATGGTTGAATATACTGATCATTTAAAACTCAATTTTTTAGTTCAATTATTAATCATTTACAAAAAAAAAAAAAGTTGTTCTCAATGAAAAAAACAGTTGTGACAAGCTCACCTATCCATTTTGAAGTTGGAATTGTTTGTTGATTTACATAAAAACAACATATTTTAACTGCAGTAAAAACATCATTTGATACAATGAGCACATTCTTACTATGAATCACAATTTGCATTGCGCATGCCATAGATAAAACTCAATATTTATAGACTTTTCTGAGAGAGAAGCTATTTGTAAATAATGCACAAGGTGTGTGTATATGTATATATGTGTGAATATACATGCATATATATATATATATATATATGTGTGTGTGTGTGTATGTAACAAATTAAGTAGATGATTTTTCAGAGGGTATATTTGATAAACTGCATAAATACAGATATAAGTAGGACATCAGACACAATGAGTTCTGAAGGTGTTTGCAGATGTACTGATGATTGTGCAAAAAACTAGTAATGGATGTAAGAAATTCAAATAAAATTGCCCAATTATTATTCTATGAAAACAAATCATGAAAAAATAAGTTGGATTTTAAATTTTATTTGTGAAACTATTACTTAGATTTTACATAAATCATTTTGGTACACTTAAAACCATGAAAGAGGAGCAGAATTTGATGTGATTCACAATGTTTTTAGAAGTTGTTGTGCATTACACTTAAAATTTTCATTCGGTTCACATAGCAAGTAATTTTATTATTTCTTATTAAAACTATAAGTAAAAAAATGAAATTGAAAAAAAAAAAAAGCATGCATACACATATTTATAACTTTAAAAAATAATAAAATAAAATAAACTCCACAAGACCGTAAATAAATTTGGTAAAATCGAAAAAAATGAGAATTTCTAAAAAGAAGTCTTGCAACGGTTTTGAAAGCAGATCAATAATAAATTGTGACAGCTGATTATTGCATTGGTTGATTTAAGTTAAATTTAATTTGGCAACCAAAAAAAATGATAAAATTATATTTAGAAATAAAATAATTGCCTGTTAAGAAAACAAAGCAGAAAAAGGCATTCATATTGAATTTGTGTTGATCTCTGATGTAAAATGGCCAGTCCACTAACGTGATTTTAAGTTAGCATTCATATTTTGTAATGAATTCAACTGTTAATTATATTTCAGTAGCTTTTTCAGTTGATTGTATAAAAAAACAAGAATAAAAAATTAAAAAATATTGCATTGAAATAAAATTAAAAACGAAATTATTTAATTTTGAGTCGTAGGGTGCCATACTTAATCAACTGCTAAAACAACTAACTTCTATTCCTTATCCAGAAACTATACTTGATGAATTTTGACAAGATAAAGTGTTTAAAACAGCATAGAGGCATAAAAATAACATAGTTAATCAACACACAACAATTACTGAAAATTTAGATGACAGCATTATTATCATTATTATTATTATTATTGATTTACCCACATTCACATAACTTGCATTTAGTGAAATATTGGTGTGTCCTCAGTTTTGACTAGTGTCATTTTTTCCAGAATAATTGGCTTCTTGAGTTCCACTTCTTATTTGCCACATGCCATCAAAACAAAGCATAGTTTTTTGGCTTTTGATTTACTTTAATTCATTAAGGCACCTTTAAATTAAAAAGGCATTAGTTCTCACATACCAAACAAGATGGCACAAGAGTGATTAAATGGAGAAGGTGAGGGTCTTGCCTCCTTTTAAAGCCAAAAGAACACATGGCTATTTCTAAATAACACCTTTAAGGGGACAAATATATATATATATATATATATAAATTCACACACACACACACACACATGAGTGTATACATGTACATATATCATAATGGTGGTTATTTGTGGAAGACTTGGAAGCTTCTAATACATCCACATAAGGGCCTCTTTTCTTTTGGTATCTGTTCTGGAACTTTCTCCCATGAGAATTTGATTTTTAATTTGGAAAGTAGAGGAGTAGATCCCTTGGCTAGATATTCTGTAAATCTTTTATGTGTTGACTTGGGTCTTGGGGAGTGACAAAAAGGATGCATAGATATTAGTTGAGGGGCTAAGAGATGAGGTTTGGTGGTACTAATTGCCCATCACTTTGAGAAAATCTTAAAGAAGTGGCTTCATTTTGAAAATGTATGTATATTAATTGGATGTTTGCTAATGTATAATTGGTGTTTCTATGTGCTTGTTGTTGCTTGATACAATGAAGTCCATCTCTTGAACCATCTTTAATTATGTGAGTTGAAATTCTCATGAAAGTTGAAGGGATCTATATATATATATATATATATATATGTATATATGTATTTGTGTCTTTTCATATGTTTGTATATACAAATTTAGAACCCACTTTCAATACAAACATACTGCATGACTGAAATTTAGAATTCCCAATAAGTATACAACCAACATATTGTGAGAAAACATCATAAATTGTGGCCAAAAACATTATGTATGTATGTATGTGTATATATATATATATATATATATAAAAGATTTATTTCCCCAACTAAACACAAAGTTTGAAGTTTCATCAAACAGTTTGGAAATAATATATATTTTAAATCACAAAAAGTGGCTAATAAAAATTGTTATAACATACACACACACACACACACACACACATATATATATATATATATACTGTTTAACTAAGCTTTCAGTGTTCTACTTTTTGTCCTTTTCAAGAATCATTTCACCAAATCAATAAAGAATGTTGCAACTCAATCCTAAAGGAATATTCACTTGGGGCCATGAACCCAATTTTGTTTTTGAGTTTGTTGTTTGTTTTTTTTTTCTCGCTTTCTTCCTTCACCCAAGGTTGGACTCTGAGTCCTCAACTATTTGTTAGGAGGAAGAAAGAAAAAAGAAAGAAAAATAAATAAAGTAAAAGGCGCGGTCTCATCCCAAAACATGTTGCAACTTGATGTCTGTCCCAGAAAGGAGAATAATTGAATTGGGGTGTGTGTGGGGGGGGGGGGATGGGATGGGATGGGGTCGTGAATGAACGAGCGGAGCTCCCAAAACGGCTCTTGTAACGGGGAACGCCTTTTTCAAAAGGGGAACAGCTTTTCTTTACAGATATGCCAGAAAGCGTTTTTCCTACTTTAAAGAGCTCCCCTGCCCCCCCTTTGCTTGGGAACAAAACGGGACACTGACTTTCTGAAAGGTTGGGAACAGACGTTCCCGTTTGGTCAAGTCATGGCTCGGGTCAATCCCCAGACCCGACCCGGCCCCGCCACTCCCCCCCTCCGCAGTGGAACTGTTCCCGCCTGGCCCGCGATTGGGACAATAGGGTGCGAAGACTGCCAGGAAAGGTGACGAAGACGGAGGGGGGAGGGGGGGGTGGAAAGGGGAATTAAGAGAGAGGGGGGGATTTGGTGGAGGTGGTAACGATGGTTACTTTGGATGGCTGCGATGATTGACCTTGTTGACAATGCCACGCCCGATCATTGCCCGCCCGCTTGGAGCCTTGCTTGCTTGCCCTGCTACATATCAATATTGGCGCGTACCAAGCACATTTGAAGTTGCTCTTCTTATCTTCAATTTTTGCTTGTTTGTTTTTTTGAAAATTTCGCTACCTTCTTGCAGCTCCTGTCGCTGAGTAGTAGTTCGAAATAGAGAAGTCCACGAGAGCCGGAGCGAATCGAGCGTCACAACTCTGTCGAGAGTGATAGGTTTCAGAGACATTGTGCAGATTCGGGTGAGGATGTGGATGTTTTTGTTTTAGAGGAAGAGAAGGTGGTGGTGGTAAGGTTGATATGGTGGAGACACTTCGTGAAGAGTGATCCGTGGTTCAGTTCTTTCGCGTAGAGGAGCTGTCATTGTTTAGATACGTGTTCTCTGCGGAAGGCATGGCGAGTAGGCAGTGATGGAGGATGGTTTTTGTCTCAGAGTGATCAAGTGATGGCGACGCTTGTTTTTCTTGAGGAAGTATGCGCTGATAGTGATTTCCGAAGTGGATTTGGATAGCGGTACCGTGAGAATCGGTTAATGCCGTTTTAAAGTTTTTATCTGGAGAGGTGAAGTTGGAGTGGAATGCAAGAGGGAGGGGTGTTGCATAGTTGTCTTTGGAGAGTGAAATAATTTCATTATTGTTTTTTCTTTTCGAGTGCAGTAGGTTGATCTGTTTGATACATTCAGAGACGCGACAGTATTGTGTTATTGCTCAAAGCGCACTAGTTTTTGTTTTTATCGTAGTACAGGGTGAGGAGAGAAGGAACAAATATGTGCATAACTTTGCATCACAAGCACGCCTGTCAACTGGAGGAACAGTATGCGTCTTGTTCGGAACCTTTCGAACTAGCATCTCCATACTACATGATTTCTCACTTCATGTAGTGGTCGTCGTAGGCGTGCGAAGCCTTGTGTGCATCGCGAAGTACAGAGCGACAAGCGAAGGAGTTTCGTGGTTGCATATTATTCACCCCTACTTGCTGTTTCTACCTGTAGCATTACGTCACTTTGCGGCAGTACTTGGAGGAGCAGGGTGCTGTAGCGCATTTAGAGTTCCAACAATTCAGTGAATTGGTCGGGGGACCTTCGTGAGGGTTTAATTTTTTTTTACACTCTTTACCTGTGGGGGAATTCGGAGAGGATAGCATGCACTGTAGCTCTGTCTGCTCTCGCCCCGAGATCATGGCCATGGTGATTGTGTAGGGGTCGTTGCAGATTGATGTAATGGTCGTGGATTATCATCCACCTCTGGCCTTGACACTGTACTCTGTCTTGGATGCGGTGACGTTGGTCTCGATCGCAGCATTGTAGTAACCTATAATTTACCAAGCGTGGAATTGAAAGTCCAATAACTGGTTTCCATGCATGAAGCCCGTTCACACTGAACCTCCAAAACCTGTGAGATTGTCCGGATGCAGAACGTCATGGTGCATGGGTGCAGAAGTTGGCGGTAAGTAGGGCCTTTACATAAGGACATTTAGTGATGCGAAGAATGTCGTTGACATGAGTGCTCAGTGTTTTTCTTGCAAGCTACGAGGTCGGAACTGATCCTCGAAATAGTAGCTTTTGCTTCAGCGGTCTTGATGCATATTTAAGGTTCCAATTGACCTTTGACTCGAAGAGACTGTCAGTCTTTCAGCTGAATGTCTGGTGGTGCGAGAGACATATCAAGCCCATAATCTCCATCAAGTAATAAACGATGCTCAGCTGAAACAGAGACAAATTTCAGTAGCCTTTACTAGGCTGCCCTCACTAGTATTCATGGTTTTAAGAGTCTGGCAAAATGCGCAGCAATCTCTGCAGTTTTGCAGGGTTGCTGCCTGTGCTACTGCTGGCAGCAACCCTTGGAAGCTTTGGCTATGGTGAGTGGCTTTTGCTCTGAAAATTTATATGTGCGTTCATAATGAAAATTGTCCGGACTCCTCTCGATATCCCAAATGAAAACACATCTGTGTACGTTATTGTTGCTACATGATATTCATATCTATAATGTCAAGATGAAATTTGTCTGCTTGTCTATCTGCTAAAATCCACGTCTGATCACTACCTTATATCTGTCACGCAGATGTGGCGGAGGAGAAATCTGGCTGCCACTTAGATTCCCCGTGCATGGTCCAGGGCAGGTTAGCGGAAGTACTGCTTCCTCGTCGAACTTTGTGGACCAGAAAGCTCCCCTTAGATGACTATTTCTTACTCCACTTCGCTAAAAGACGACCTTATACGACCTCTGCAGCAACGAATGAGCAGAATTCTGCTGATGAATTCCTACGTTCGACAGACCTCGCTGCTCCAAGGGGATCTTTGGTTGCATCTGCTATGGCCGCCCCTTTAGGAAGTTTTTCTCAAAACAGTCCAGAGGAGTCTCACCTACAAGCCCCTTCAATAGGTGAGTTCACAGTGTTTGGGCCTGTATGTGTTGTGTTGTACATTTGATCAGCTAGATTTATGAAAGTCACTTCCTTTCACTCTTACAGGCCTGAACTTAAAAGATAGTCTCGCTTTTCCTATTTGATGTTTAATTCTTCACTATCAGTTTAAAGTTTTTATGTAGATGTGTTAATTTGTTCATGTTCATGCTCTGTTCTTCTTTTGGGTGTTACTTTGTGGCACTAATTGCTCATGCTGTGTATGTCCTCTTATCCGTTGTTTGCAACCTTGAACAAAGGATATATTTCTAAATTCTGCGGAACATTACCATTCTAGCTCTCTGACGCTGCTTCGTTCGTCTGTATACAGCCCCTTCGCCACTTGAACCTGTTGTCCCCCCATCACCACTGAATTTCAGCTTTCCTGAAGGTGGCGCTTCTGTAATATCATTCGATTTAGACCAGATCTCTTGTTGCTCCTTGTTTCTCATTATGTTTCACCTCGTATTGCCCTGTCATTATTTTTCCAGCCTTGTGTCTTGTTGACATATTCTTGGATTTGGATTCGGATGCGAAGGTTATGTCATAAGGATGCGCCGATGGTAAACAAAACCTCACAACAGTTCATATTGTTTTAACAGATTGCCGCCAAGTTTGTCCAGATGGCTACACTTATACACCACCAGGGGCCCCATCATGTGGTTGTGTCATCCCCATGCACGCACAGTTTCGGCTTGGAATCCAGTTGGAGACGCTTTTTCCTCTAGTGTCTGAGCTGGCTGCGGAGCTTGCTGATGGATTGTTTTTACGAACCAGTCAAGTCCGTATTGTAGGGGCCAATGCTGTTGAGTCAAACCAGGATGAAACCGACGTGAGTGCAGACTTTGTGCCATTGGACTCGAAGTTCGATAACACCACAGCTCATCTGCTTGCCTCTCGCTTGTGGAGTGGTCAAGTTCCACTGAACAAGACTCTTTTTGGAACCTACTCCGTCATTTTTGTCGATTACCCAGGTAATTCTATACACGTCCGATTTCTTTCTAACATTCAGAACCTACTTTAAGATCATATGTAGATGTTTCCAGTTTTACAAACTGCTTCACACTTTGGCGGCCTTTTTTATCTGGGGCTGATGCATGTTGATTTTTTGACTTGTGTAGGTCTTCCTCCTCCTCCACCCCCCCAGTTCCCAGGAAATATTGTTTCACCGCCAAGTCCGGCCAACCAACTTCCATCTGGATTGGATCCAAGTAATAAATATCACAAGCTCAGCTCGGGGCTCATCACCGTGATTGCTCTGGCATCGTCTATGGGCATACTGTTGCTGATTGGTTTTGTGTGGCTCATTCGTCTACGTCGCAGCTTTAACCGGAAATCTTCACCTTCCGATGTTGGCCCTTTTCATGCATATTTCAATCCTAAAATTGAAGGTGTGCAATTGATTCAGTTGAGAAAGATTTTTTTATTTTTTATATTTCTTTAGTAGTATTTAAGTCATATTTTTCTATTTTACAAATTTGTAAGATGTATGTCATTTGTCACCCAGTTATCAGTTAGTCTTGCTGCTTCGCTCCGTTAATCCATCATAGAGCATGATGATCAACGTCCGATCCCGTGCTTTCTTTTTTAGTGCCTCGTAGGTTCTCTAAATCATGGTCATCTATAATCCATGTACTTAGTTTAGGCCAGTTCTTCACCAACCTGTTGTCCAATCGCTTGGCGTCATATGTTCTATGCAAAGCTGTTGCTTGAAAAAATCCATCAAGACCTTCAATGTTTTCATGCTTGACATTCAATGCTTTCTGCGTTCATTTCTGCAGGTTCATTATTGTCAGGAAGTATGGCGAGTTCTATAACAGTTTCTTACATATCTAACGTCGAAAACTACACCGGCACTGCCAAGACCTTTAGTATATCAGAAATGGAAAGGGCAACAGACAACTTCAGACCAGATAACGTAATTGGTGAAGGGGGCTTTGGAAGAGTTTATCAAGGGGTGCTGGACAGTGGTATTGAAGTGGCTGTCAAAGTACTGACAAGGGATGATCATCAGGGTGGTCGTGAATTTATTGCTGAGGTAGAAATGTTGAGCAGATTACATCATCGAAACCTTGTGAAGCTAATTGGCATCTGCACCGAGAAAATTCGGTGTTTGGTTTATGAACTCATCACGAATGGCAGTGTGGAATCTCATGTGCATGGTACGTACTTCTGTTCATTGGTGCCCACTACTGGACTTCATTTGTGTGGAGTCCTCTTCGATGATTAGATTTATATGTGAGTCTGAATCATCTCATTATTCAAGGGATTGTTTCCATTTATGTGCTGAAGCATAGCTACGCAGATAAGACAATTCATCCTTTGAAATCTTCCTTCAGTATAGTCAACGTTCAGTTGTTTGTCCATTATTGTTTGCGCTTCATCAATGTACTAATGAATTAGTTATTTATGTTCTTATATCTGTAGAGTTTTACCGCAATTTTGATGTACATGGTAAGAATCACAAAAGTTTTTTCGTAGTTTATGAACGTTTGATTTCTCTATCTGCAGGTTCAGACAAATACACAGATCCTCTCAGCTGGGAAGCGCGCGTTAAAATTGCTTTAGGATCTGCTCGTGGGCTGGCATACCTACATGAGGATTCTCAGCCCAGGGTAATTCACAGAGACTTTAAAGGAAGCAATATTCTACTAGAAAACGATTACACTCCTAAAGTATCTGATTTCGGTCTAGCGAAATCGGCATCTGAGGGTGGCAAGGAACACATTTCTACTCGAGTAATGGGCACGTTCGGGTAAGTCTACCATTTTCTTATTGCGTAACGAGAAAATCAAGTAATATATATATATATATATATATATATATATATATATGTGTCTGTGTGTGTGTGTGTGCGCGCGCGCTAGTGCTGCAGTCCCTTGGTTTTATCCCCAGGAAATCACAAGTGTCTCGGTTTTTAATCCTTAAGCCACTACGGTTAATACTGAAGTTCTGCTGCTTAGCTGCCATTAAGCTTACCCTTCTTGTCAGAATCACATGTTCTTCCAGTGATCTCTGTAGCCTTAGTTGAGTAAGTGAATTTGTTTTTTGTGTCAATCTGCATATTTGTAGTGGAATGTTCTCTTGTATTCTCGTTTCTTCTATTTTTTAGATATCTTTGGCTGGACCGCTAGCGTTGTTACTTGATTCCTGCACTTACTGATTGATTTCTACTGCAGGTATGTGGCCCCTGAATACGCAATGACAGGGCATCTACTTGTGAAGAGTGATGTTTACAGTTACGGAGTAGTGCTTCTAGAGCTCCTCTCTGGACGGAAACCTGTAGATATGTCTCAACCACCTGGTCAAGAAAATCTAGTCACATGGGCTCGCCCACTTCTTACAACCAAGGATGGGATCGAGCAGCTTGTTGATCCTTATCTTAGAGACGACTTTCAATTCGACAACTTTGCCAAGGTGGCTGCTATAGCCTCCATGTGTGTACAACCGGAAGTATCCAATCGACCGTTTATGGGCGAGATCGTGCAGGCCTTGAAACTTGTGTATAATGAATTAGAAGCTAATGATGTTGGGCGCGGAAGAGGAACAGTATCGCCTACTTCTGACTTGGTCGAAACACAAAATTCACAGTTTCTCCATGACTCCTCGTTTATAAGTATTGATTATGTCTCGGGACCCCTCGAGTCCTTGGATTTTGAACAGCGAAAGCCTGTCTCTGCTTCAGGTGTTGAATCTGGCTCTGAACGGTTCTTCCGACAACTTTCAAGTTCATTTAGACGGTACAGTGCTTCAGCTCCACCAAAGGCGTCTTCACTACCAAGAGCTCCTTAGTCTGGAACGGGAAATCCCCAAGGCGGGAAGCATGAGTGACCAGTGTATTATTTACTGAGATCCTTAAATGTGGGAATTTTTTTCATGTTAGGCGTTAGGATTGTGAAGGCTGTTGCGACTTTACATTATTGGCTCCTGCCATGCCAATTTGTATATTATCCTCGTCTCATCTATTAGACTTGAGTCACATAATTTTCGTGATTCGGTATCATTCACTTTTTCAGCCTCCGTCCATTGCTATGCACAGATGCATGTGTTCCATGGGTGGCATGCTGAAGTTCTCTTAGCTCTGAAATCATACAAATGTTGTATGTATGATACCACACTCCACTTAGTTAGTCGCATATGTACCTTCTGAATAGGTTTAATTGGGATACAACATAGTGATGCCAAAAAGATCATTTGAATTAATGGCATCTTACCATGAAACTCGTTCGTATAGTACTCAAAGTTCGAAATACCATGAAAAATCTAATTTACTTTCGAATTGTACATGACATCAATTTAAAATTACTATGTGATAAATAAAAGAAAGAATTGTTAATAATTGAGTGCATGGCAAGGAAGAGTATTGCCCTTGAATTAAGATATTACTTAATTATACACATATGTATGAACATTTTATTTAAAACCGTCTGTTAATAACATGAAGATAAAATCAAATGAATCGTATTATTATGAAATATACATCTAGTTAAATCTACATTACTTATTCTTGACTTTGTCCCAAAGAACTTGGTACCTTAAGGATATCATCAAATATAATTATTAATAAAAAAAAGTGATTTTGGTCTTTGTACAAGGCAAATTGATACAAATTTTATTAGATTGTAGATATGTGATGTAATTTTACTGAAAATATTTAGATTGTAATTTAAAGTGAAAGGATTTTTTTAAACTAAAATTATTATTTTAAGTAGTAATTAAGAAGTAAATATTATAAATGATTTAGTCAAAAGATGTCATGTTAGTAATAGATATTTTTATTAATTTCAAATAAAAAATATATTAATTCTTAGATATATATTGTAGATTTTTGTTTTTTAAATATAATGTTTTATAATTTTATTATAAATATAATGCTAATTAACTTGAATAGACTTTTTATTTATTTAAAAAATAAATATAATTTAAATAAATTATTTTTTATTATAAAATTATAAATTAACTTATATATGATGAAACTAATAAAATAAATTTCTTGATTTCTTATTATAGAAATTAAACAATCAAACCTTAGAAAGAATTTATTTATGCATAAGAAAGATTAATTCTTGTATTGTATGACTTCAAAAAACTTGTATTTTTACATATTTATAGCATAATTGATATATACTATGATGCATTTAGAATTAATAGATTGTAAACACTTTATAAAAAAATTGGGATAAGAGATGTTTTCATTACCTAAGTAAATAGAAGTATGTAGATGTAATTAAGAATATATCAAAATATGATAGGTAGATTAAAATCTTCTTATAGAAAGATCAAAAGAACTTCCTAAACATGTATTATATTTTTAGGTTTTTCTAAATATGTCATATGGTTGTATAAACTTCTCATAGAAACTTCTACATTTGAAAAGTTATTAGAGCAACAACTTACAACTTAGCTACTTTGGATTGTAAGCCTTACAGCCTTCTTTGTAGTTAATATATATAAAGATAAGATCATGGTCATTCTCAATTTTGTCAAAGTCTTTCTTGTATTTTAGTCTTAGTTCAAGACTATTTAATTCTTTGAATTTTTTTTAATGACAATCTTGATTTATTTCTATCTTGTATCTATAACTTTTTTATTTTATTTATTTATTTATTTAATTTATTTTTTAGTATTATTTATAAATAGAAATTTGAATAAAATTGATTAGATCCATAATTTTTACTAGTTAAAATGATTAACATATATTATATCAAGGTTTGATTATTCTGAAATACAAAGTAATCTATCTATTTTTTTAAAAAAACTTTAAAGTGTTTAAAAAGATTGTAAAGTATTCTTCATGAAACTAATATTATTTTTGCTATATCATTTTATTTATTTATTTATTTTTATAGATAAATTCTTAAATCATTATATTATTAAAAATAATAGTAGAAATAAATAATATAATTTAAAAACATATAGATAAATAAAAGAATTAATGCTTTTGTGCTTTAGTTTTTTCTACATCTGAAAAAATATTAGTAGTAATTTATGAAAAAGATAAAAAAAAAATAACACAATTTTCTTCAAAAAAATTATTACTTTGATTGGTTTATGGAAATACAATTGAATGTACTTTAGAACCAAGAATTGTTCTCTTAAAGAAGTTTGATGGTATTTGATCCAAGTTTTATAGATTCATTAACCAAGTGTAATTTGTCATTTAAATATAACTTCTTAAGTATTTAATCCATATATGTATTGAATCATATTTATTGGAATTTCAGTTAGTAAATATATTTTTTCTTGATTTTCCTTATTAAAACAACAAGATTGTATATTGAACAAATTAGATGCATTTCTAGTATGATTTTGGTTTATGTAAGAATAACATGATATTATTTGTACATTAACTAACTAAATTTATGTTTTATGATAACAATTTTTTTTTGCATCCATGTATGCATAAAATCTTTGATAATTTGATATTAATATTAAGTGGAATAACACTACTCTTGTTAATATATTTTTTTGAAAATTGTAATATAATACAAAAAAGTTATTGTTTAATTTGTAACATCCTTCAATATTGAGTGGAATAATTGATTTCAATGCTAAATGTAATCTACAACTTCAATACTTACACCACAAGCATTGTGATTTTTAAGGAGTTTTTACAATACTTTCTTTGTAGCTATTATATATAGATGCAAAATTTATTCCATTCCTAATCTTGTTAACTTCTTATTTGTATTCTAATCTTAATTCAAGACTCTTTGGTTATATATATATATATATATATTTGTTTATTTTATTTAATCTTAACTTTTAAAAATAATTTGTGAGTATATTATTACTATGTGTAGACCCATATCCTCAATAATCTAGTATATATTTACTCAATAAACTATGTGTAGACCCATATCCTCAATAATCAATTATTATAATTACTCAGTGGTTAATAAAGTTTTAAAAATTTGAATAAGGTTATAAGACACAAAAATTTATAAAACTTTTTACTATTATATTAATTAAAATATTTTCAATCCTACACACACATATTATTTATTTATATTTACACATACTTAGTTACTTAATTTATTACATTATAAGTTCTTATGTAAATATTTTGAAAATGTAACAAATGAATTTTCTAAAATAAAGTATAATTCTTTAATAAAATAATCAAAATTAACTGTGCTATGATACTTGATAATATTATGATAAATAAAATTCATTAAAAATATATATATATATATATATATATATATATAATATGTTTCTATTTTAAGATTAAAAACTTATTTCACAATTAAACAAATAAGTGTATTCACACACTTGTAGAAGCTATAAGAAGAACCACAAACACACATGAAGAAACTGTAAGAAGAGACACACATGAAGAAACTGTAAGAAGAAGAAACACACATGGAATATCTGCCACAGGTTTCCATACAAATGCAGAACAAAAACACAAATAATCACGTTTGTTTTGAACCACGATAAACAGTACCGCCCAGGACGACGGATATATTTGGAAAGCACGTTCCATCATTCCATGTTGAAAGGTGTTGACCCTATTAGAGGTAGATCACAAATCTTTGTCTATTTTGTGAAGTTAAAAAACCCATCTCTTCCTTTTAAAGAAAGAAAACAATAAGAAGAAAATAGTGCTAAAAGCCTCATACAGAATGCATGTGGGCATTGATGCTGTGAAATTCCCCGTGGTAAAGAAACATATCGTTCCACAGCTTCAAAAAATGGAAAATCTTAACGCTAAGCTTGTGAGGGTGTGTGTATGTGGTACTGAAGGATGCTTGGCTTTGATCCGTTTCAGGCAGCCCAGCCCAGTCATGTCTTCACTTTTCCGTTACCATGTATAGGGAGAGGTCTTTCTTATTTTGCATCATTTAATTTAGTTTTTTACCGATATTCCCACATGGATCCATAACTTGAATTGCCAAGGCTGTGCATTCGATGATAAGCTAAATAAGTTAACTCTTCTTCTACAAAAAAAGATTAATGAATGAACGAAGCTGGACTGCAAGATATGAGCTAAGACGTCGAATAAGCTTCATTTTTGGAATTGGTGTTGTTTTGGGTAGAAAATTGTTGGAATGTTTTGCAAAATGCACTGGTTTATTTATATTCACGCATAAATGTATTTTTTTGAAGAAGGATTCTCGAAGATATCACAGGTGCAAAACTGGGTTCTGCTGAAGACATCAATGCATGAAGACGTTAATCTAACGCAGTGGTTGATCGAACCGCACGAAATCTGAGGTGTTCATCAACATCTACCAATGCGTTATAACTACATGTTCATTTCTCAGTTAAATGATCGAACATGCAAAGTATGAGGTGAAAAGGTGGCAGTTCAGATGACGAATAGCATCGTCAGATTCCTCCGATGCCTCCGAATCTGCTACCTCTTGCTCACATACAGTATTCTTGTGTTTTAACATCTGAACAGTCATCTCGTGGTGATAAATCAGATTTGCCCTCTTTCTCGAAGTGAATCAGTTGGACCTTCGCACCCTCGGTTCTAGTAGATACGCACAAGTGGCATCCTGAGCCTCCTTCAAGGGCCGCCTGGGTCACAATTAGAAGGTCCCACCTTTCAAGCAATACATTTCTGGAGGTTGCGCGGCGCTCTGAATGCGGCAGAAGGCAGTCCCATCTACAACAGAGGAAGCCTGTGGGCGCTTTTATTATGTCATGCTCCCTCAAGGAATAGGTCACTGTGCAGGAGAAGGGTTTTAATCGGTTCTCGACCACTTGGGTGCACATGGGTCGCTCTGATGTCAGCAGTTTTGGATAAATAATCGCATTACAGAAACTCACATAAGCGTCAAAACGCGAGTTGTACAAATGCTGAAGTGGTCTTTCAATATCTGTCTGTGTGAGTGGCTCGCCTGCATGTTCGGCTGGGGTTGTTGTTTCGTCGTGCAGTTGATTAACAGGTCAATGCCTGCTCTGATTCCGGACACACGAGTCAAAGTAACTGCGACTCCCATAGGTCTCGGTCCTTGCGGAGTCTACACTCTCGGCGACCTGTGCTGGAGGCTCTTCCATTAGTTTGTTCAGTAGCGCAGGTTCTGGGTTTTCCTGGTGTATGCAGATGGTTGCTGATCCTTTACATTGCGGACCCTTACGACATGCGAGCTTTGAGGTTATATTCGGTTTGGGTGTGATGCGACCTGCTCCATCGTTGAGGGTTCAGTCATAATGTGATGAACCGTCCTCAAGCTGTTGCGCTTGAATGGATTAAGATCACTGGCGGCATATTATTTGTAGACATAATGAGAACGAGTGCTTGAGGAACTGGCAGGTGATGTTTTGGTTGTGGTTGCGAGCAAATTCCTCTTCCTTTGAAAGTCTCTCGCCGCTCTTTCGACCTCAACGGCGGGTTTTCAGTCCAATAAAGCTTTTTGCATGCTAGAAAATGTGACAATGTTGCATAGAATTTAGATGGATCCTATTTGCAGCCCACATTCGCTTCGGGGTGAAGCTATTGTGGACGATGGCTTTTCGGTGCACGCAGCTTTCTGTGCGGCTTCAGCGAGGGCTCTCTATCTCCTCCTTGTCTAAAGGACATTGTGTTGAAGATGGCACAGTAGGACACCGCTAACTAGCAGTTGATATGTGGTGGAAGATGTACATTTCCCTCGGTTATGGCATATTGGGCGATGGGTGGGAAGAATTAGACACAATCCAGAAACGAAGCCACCAGTGACCTTGAACCCAAGACGTAGATATTGTTGTGTCCAAGCGCATCAGCATTCACCCTTGATCGATCATGACCCAAAATGTGTGTATGAATGTCTGTTTCAGATTCACAGATACTTTGGGAAACAGTGCCATGATCATGATTGTACAGTTCCAGTTATAGAATCGAAGTGGGCACGTGGAGTCGTCAATTCAGAATGGTATAGAAACTTGCCCGGCCTGGTTTTCCATTAGTAATGCATGTCCTTTGGATCTACATCAAAGCCGTAATGGTTTCAATTGTAACGTTCGATATATGTACATCTCTCTCTCTCCTCATACATATATAAATATGAATAGACTAGTAAAAAGATTACCAGCTTAGAGAGCTGCTTCATGATTGTTGCACAGATGTCATGCATGCTAATGTAACCTCAATCAACTGTTTGTGGTGTTCAACCAGATTGGTCTTAAGGGCCGGAAGGGCTATATATTATCGAAATCAGTGCTAGGAATACTTTTTGGGACTTTCGCCCTCTTCACGTTGCAACTGTACTCTTTGGGGGATCCGATCCAACCGAGCCTCTCATTGAAGGAGCTCCCGCTGCAAATACTATCCATCGAAGAAACGCTGCAGCCGTTTTTATTGCAGCAATCGGCGCTTGAACTTTTGGACACAGAAGATCATACTCTGCGTCGTGTTTCTGTTCAAGAGCCACGTCAACGTTTCGAAGGCTCAGACTCTTTACTTTGGAACGTGTCGTATCCGACCCACGAATGCAAGACGGAGTGGTTTCCGGAGAATCATTGGACTGATCGGGATTTGAGAGTGGACGGAGATGTTGGTAATGGGCAGCAGCTGTTTGGTACTGTAGCAGCGCAACATGCAATTTGGCAGCACCAGCATCCTAGCACCTGCGTTGACAAAAAGTTCCTCGTGTACGAGGCCCTGGGGCCTGAGCATGGCATAGGGTCCATTTTGCATGCCATGGGTGTAGCGTTGCAAGCTGCGCTTAACCTCGACAGGATTCTAGTTTTGTACCCACAACCAGCATTTGAATGGACGAACGGTCTCTTCTGCCAGGGCACCAGTACCCTGGATCAATGCTATTTTGAGCCACTGTCAAATTGCACGGTGGCTGACGCATTTGGAAATATGAGCGTGAGCCTTGACAGCTTGTGGAGATTCTCGGAGCTTAGCTTAGACAGCTATAACCGATACGATTCAGATTGGAGGTTTTCAGAGAAGATTCTTGGGTCATCCGTAAGGACAGTAGCGGAAAATTTCGAAGATTCGAAGAATATTATCAATGTTTTGAGAGGCGAAACGCCGCACATGTTCCACAGCCTGCTGAAGGCTGGGAATCTGTCGGAGAAGAACTTCTATTGGTGGCGAGCTCAGAGCGTGGCGTACATCGTGCGACCCAATCATCGAACCCTGTTCGAGCTCAAATTACGTCGAAATTTCTACTTCAACAACAAACGGCTCGAACGCGGCACAATATCGGTGCACATCCCCTACGGCGAGAATAGGGACCCTGAGAATCAATCCCCCGACAAGTGGATTTCATACTTGCAATCTGCTGAAGCTCTGGTCAGCCGGTATCCCAACCTTCAACGCAAGATTTTTTTGAGCACAGAAGACCCACTTGCAATCAGCTTCTTTTCGAAGCTCACCAGCTGGACAGTCATGTGGACAAAGGTAAAGCGCGTCTCCGGCAAGAACATCATCACCAGACCTAATCAAGCCTTGGGTAGCTTCGTCTCGCGATTTGGTTGGGACGAAGAGTTTCTCAATAGTTTACTTAACCTGCAGTTAGCTTTGGAATGCGATGGTTCCGTTGGACACCTTAGCTCCAACTGGAACCGGCTCATTGACGAGCTCAAGAGTACCGTCCGCTGCAAACACAATCGCGCGTATGCAGACATTGTGCAAGGGTTCAATATATCCAATTATTTCTGGTAATTAGAATTACCACCACAATAGCAGTGCAATATGAGTGTACTCAATTAGGTTTTTGTCTAACCTGTAAGTATACATCCGGATTGTGAAGCTCTATGCTAGAGAACGCTGGAGCTGTTCCGGTAGCCCAATTTATCAATTACAGTTCAACAGGCATGTGATCAAGTGGTCTCAGAAGCGAATTGATGCGTCTCTGATTTACTGTTTTATCTGATCTGATTGTGGACCCTGCTTTTTTTTAATCTAATGTGTCAAGTTTCGAGCACTTTTCTTTTTCTTTTTCTTCATGTGAATGCTGTTTGCATGAGACCTGTGCTGTCAAATGTACCCAGTAGACATAATCATTAAACCGTAGACTTTGGGCAGAGTCGATCTCGACTACACAAATTGTACAATAATTCATCAAATTCGGAGAGTCGACATTGCAGTCATTTGATTGAAAGTCTTGCAACTAAATTGGCCGATGATAATTCATGTGTTATGAGATCACTGACATCCGTTATCCGCTAAGTTTGGCTGCTTCATTGTGGGGACTGACAACCCCAACGCATTGCAGACGTAACGAACATGAACGATGTCCTTTAAGCAACCAAGTGTCAGACCAAAGTTGGAGTCCCTTGTGAGGACCGAAGGGACTTCACGGGAAGTTCGCTGGATGTCAACCCCAACGCATTGCAGACGTAACGAACATGAACGATATCCTTTAAGCAACAAAGTGTCAGACCAGAGTTGGAGTCCCTGGTGAGAAGTTCGCTGGAGTTGCATCTGACAGAGTGGCACTGATACTCGTCTCCCAACCTGAGGGCAAACCAACTACACTTGAGAGGCGTTTTCTCTGGCATTTTACGCTTCTAAACCACGCCATATAATCTAAACCACAGTCTATATTCTAAACCCTATATTCAGGCAGAATTAACGAAATAAAACAAATAAAAGTGTGTTCGTGTATATTCTGCTCAACTTCACGATCTGGATACCACTTGGATAAAGCTAATTTTTTTCACCACTTCCATCATTCTGGAAACAATCCCCAAATCCCCCGTGGGCAGCCGGGATATGGACGGAAGATTCGCCACTACAACATCGTTGAACAGGATCTGCTTGTCGATAGAATGTCTAGTTTTGTCAGAAATATCACCCAACATGAAGAAGAATTCCTCATAAATGCAGGCACAACAGCAGCAGCAACAGGTGGGTTGGAATATGGTCACAGCAAGTCTCATTAAGCTATTCTTCCGCGCTGTACAAACCCTACAAACTAGTCTTCGGCGCTCTGCGAACCCGAAAAACTCTGCAAGCCCTAAAAGCTGATCTTTCGTTTTAGTGACAAAGTAGAATGGAGTTTATTTTTACTTTTATTTTTTTATTGTTAGAAAGAAATGGGGGGAATTCATTGCTTACTTTCTATCATGTCTTGAAGAAGTAGACTTAGAAATATGTTATGATATAATGAACAATAACCATGACTGATTTTTATTTTAGCTTTTGTTTCTCAACATCTAGAATGTGTATAACATGACCATTATTTGACACATTGATATGTCACATTATTAATACGCCATTTCTAATTCTTACCATTTTGTTGGCCATCCAAGACTTGTCTTATTTCTTTTAAAATGTATTATTTTGATGTTGACATTTCTTGACTTTAGCTGATATCTCCTACTATGAAATTTGACCATGTTGGAATAAATAAGACTGAACAAAATTAATTTATTGTTTTCTTTTATTTTATTCTAGTTTAAAAATATTTTTTCAACACATTTAAATATATTTTTTTGTATCTAGATTGTCCATAAAATTATTTTGCAAAAATAAGTCAATATGATTTAAAGTTTTTGATATTTAAATTTAAAGTGTATTGTAAAGATAGTTTATTTCTATGATAATGCAAGCTATGTATCTACTTATGTAGACTTGTATCTATCTTATGACATAAAGAATGTGTTCAAATTTATAGTTTGCATGTATGAATATAATTCCAAAATCAATGCTTTAGTATTTTTTAATATTTATAAAAAAAATTATAATCTTATAATTTTATATAATTAAATTAAAAATACCAATCAATAATTATTATAATAAAAGTATTTAACAAATCCTGCATATAATCAAATTATATGGCAATGCTCTATATGACATCAAAGATATGTCCAACTTGTAAGATACATGTCTAAATTGTAAGGTAAGTTTTCTATATATGTATTATTGAAGTAAGTAAATAAAAGTGAAAGTAGAATAAATTATCTTACAAAAGATATTACTTTAGATAACTTATTAATAATCAAAGTATTTACTTTAGGTACATAAGAAAGCCAAGAGACAAGGTAGATAAATAGACAAATCATCTTAAGAATATAAAAGATATGCTATAGGTATATCTTCATAATAGATAAGATATCAATGGATAGTCTTGGTAGAATGTTGGATGGATGTATTCATTTAAGGATGCAAGTTGTCCATTAAGGCAACAATTGCCACCTTTAAGTAATGGATAATAGAGGTTAGAGATATCTTATTCCATATTCTCTTTGTAAGAGACCTTGCTGATGCTATGTATTGTGACTTCAAAGTTATTTTCTTCAATATGTACTACATGATCAATTTGTATTATAAGTAGCCAACGTATGCAATAAGTGGCTAATTTGTTGGCCAATTTTTCAACATACAAATTACTTATAAACATATAAAAAGTCAAATCCATGTCTATGAAGCTTTACAAGATATTATATATTTTATTTATTTATTTATTTATTTAAGTAATTAATAATATTAATTATCTTTGTGATATTATCTTTTCTTCTAAAGATGAATTCTTGTCATGGACATATGCATGTAAGCCAGTAATTATATGTATAAATAGGTAGAAATAAATAAAAGTAAGTAAAAGTAAGTTAATTCTATAGTATTTATTGTGGAAGCTTCCTAAAAGCTTCATAGACATTGCTTTGACTTTATAGATGTCTTTAATTAACTTTTTGGATTAGAAACATGGTCAACAAGTTGGCTATGTGCCACACATGTTGTTAGCTTGAAGACCAAGCTAACTATGTGGCCCACACGTAGAAAAACTTGCCTTGTAAGTCAAAGCATGTATCCTATAAAGTCAACACATATTGAAGGTCCTATAGAACATCGCCACGTAGCCCCTAGTTAGATAGTATATATAGAGATAAGAGTGAAGCCTTCTTCACTCTTATCAATTCCTTTCTTACTTTTAGTCTAGTTTCAAGGATCTCTAGTTTTCTTGGCTTTTGGCAATAGCCATTTCAGTTTCTTTCTTAATATACATATCAAGTTATTTCTATTTTGTCATCTTTCTTTGAGAGAAGTCTCACTTGTTTATTTTTTTTTTATCATCTTCTTGTCCTTGATAGATCGACAAGAGTGCATTTACAATATCAGAGCTTTATCTAATCTTGATTAAGAGTGGATTTCCCCTTTCTATTGATAAGATATAAGCATATTAGAAGTTACGGATTACCCTCTTCTAAACTGATATTGTCTTTAGTATTTTCTTTATTCTCAAGTCCTCTCTTCTATTTGTCTTGAGCAATATTAGACATCTTCTCCTTTTTAAGTGTTATCATGGCAGAACTTGCTGAAATGAAGAGTGTAATGGCACAAATGTAAGAATAATTGAGGGAGTAAATGCTTGCAATACATCAACTCAATTTACCACCACAAGGAGTAACAAGATTGGGAGGAAGTGAAGATATAGAAATGATTGGAGTTGCTTCAACATCTGCACCAAATCATATTCCTTCTTCTAAGGTGGAACACCCTTCCAATGTTAGAGAACCAAGAATTACCCTATCCGAGAAGTTTGATGGCACCAGATCAAAGTTTAGAGGATTTATCAATCAAGTACAACTTGTGATTGAACTTCAACTCCAAAGCTATCCAACTCCAGGATTACAAGTTAGATTCATTGGTGCGCTTCTTTCAGGTTTAGTATTATCATGGTTTTCATCTTTTCTTGAATGATGAGATCCAATATTGGATAATCTGGAGGCTTTTTTGATGGAGTTTTGATCCATGTATGGAGAACATGATGCAATTCGTGTTGCAACCAATAAGATCCATATTTTGTGACAAGGCAATCGATCAGTAATATCATATGCTTTATAGTTTTGACAACTTGCAATTGATATTAAGTATGATGATGTTGCCCTTGTTAGCCAATTTTTCTACGGATTATAATATAAGATAAAAAAATTAATGTTCAACTTATCTGATCCTCAAACATTGAGTCAAGCAATTGACTTTGCTAAGAAGTGTGACAATCATCTTTTTGAATTTTGATTAGAGAACCGTACAAGTGAACCTCAACGTTACTATAATTCAATGGCAACACCAACACCTCTTCAATACATATATTCAGAAGTAGAGGATATGTAAATTGATACAATACATTTCAAACCTCTTACTGAGCAAGAAAAGACTCGTCGTTGTTAGGAAGGATTGTGCTTATATTGTGGAGAACCTAAGCACACTGCTCAACATTATTCAAAGAAGCAACGCAACCATAAAATGAGGAGTACGACTATTAAAGAAGATAGTATGTCAAAAAATGAGTTCGTCCAGCTACAATAGAAACCATGCGGCTAGAATCTTGTATAATACCAAGTAAAGGTCCTATTCTCTCCTCAGAACCGTCTTCTTGTTTTATGATAAATATTATTTTAGGACCTAAATATCACAAAGCATCTGCCTTATTAGATTCAGGAGTCAAAGACTTGTTTCTAGAAGTCCGAACGCTATCCAACGAAAGGCCCTATCAATCATCTTTGAAGAGAATAAAGATCAGAGTATGTGGTGAATATAATTCGTCACATCATACATTTCTTCAATATATCATATCTTATATTATAATCCGTAGAGAAATTGGCTAACAAGGGCAACATCATCATACTTAATATCAATTGCAAGTTGTCAAAATTGTAAAGCATATGATATTACTGATCGATTGCCTTGTCACAAAATATGGATCTTATTGGTTGCAACACGAATTGCATCATGTTCTCCATACATGGATCAAAAATCCACCAAAAAAGCCTCCAGATTATCCAATATTGGATCTCATCATTCAAGAAAAGATGAAAACCATGATAATGCTAAACTTGAAAGAAGTGCACCAATGAATCTAACTTGTAATCCTGGAGTTGGATAGCTTTGGAGTTGAAGTTCAATCACAAGTTGTACTTGATTGATAAATCCTCTAAACTTTGATCTGGTGCCATCAAACTTCTTGAATAGGATAAT